CCCTCAGAGGCCGATGCGGACCCTTGGAGACCGGCATCGGATCTCCGGAATCCAGTGCGGGGCCCTTAGAGGTCAATGTGGGACCCTAAAATACCGGCATGGGCCGGTGTTGGAACCCAGAGACCAGCAGAAGGCCCTCAAAAACCAAGATGGGCCTCAGAGGCCGGCATCAGGTCTTCAGAATCCCGTGCAAGGTCTCATAGGCTAATGTGGGTCCTTACAGGTCAGCATGGGCCCTTAGAGGTCAGTGTGGGGCCCTAAAAGACCGGCATGGGCCGGCGTTGGACCCCTCAGGCCAAGGTGGACCCTCAGAGGCCGATGCGGACCCTTAGAGGCCGGCATCGGGTCTTCAGAATTCAGTTCGGGGCCCTCAAAGGCACCTAAAGGCTAGTCTTGGGACCCCAGAGACAGAAATGAGGCCACCAGAGGCCGGTGTGAGGCCCTCAGACGCCGGCTGGGCCCTTGAGGCCGGTTTAGGGGCCCTCAAATGAGGTCAATGTGGGTTCTCAGCGGTCAATGTGGGCGCTTGACCGCCACTGAAGGGCCCTCCGAGATCAGTGTAGGACCCTCAAAGACTGGTTTGGGAGCTGTTAATAGCTAGCGTGGTATTCTTGAGTCTCGTGACAATCGAATAAGGGCCAGAGCCCCATACGCCCATGGGGGCCCATTGGTTGTTTGGGGGGGGGGGCAAATGATATGATGGCCCCCTGATCAGCCTTTGGAGGGGGAAGGGCATGGCCCTGATCCCCCTCTGCGACCGCCACTGCACTGAAAGTGGAAGGGGGAGGGGCAGAAACAGACATTGCTGGCCCCCAGCCTGTTTGAACCGAGGCTGAGGCACGGTCACCCTGGCCCTCAGCTAGTACGCCTTTGACGAACTATGCCGACCCCAAGCAGATAAGGTCAAGCGTTGGTCGTTTGTATACGCATTCTCCTACACCGTGCTAGTATTGTCTTGGTATTGCCTATACCTTTTTAGTGCTCGCTGTCCCGCGCCTCGTATTCAACAAAATGCTGTCACCAGGACTCACAGTCTTGTCTCTGATATGGTTTCCTTCATTGCGTGAAGGAAATTGCGGTCAATAACGCTGTAGAAAGTTAGAAACAAAAAGGAATCCTCATTAAAGGGCAAGCTGAATAGTTGTCAAGTTACCGGGTGGTAGGTTAGGTACAGACAGACACTTAAGTCAGCAAAAAGTGGGGGGCAGTTAACATTGCTGGCCCCCCCACCTCCGAAAGTGGGGGGGGGGCCATGGCCCCCCCGGCCCCCCCTGTTCCTACGCCTATGATGTGTTACGATCCAACTAGGGCTGATAATCCCGGGATCGGGATCCCGGGATCCCGGGATTGTATTAATCCCGAATCCCGGGATTAGAAGCATCGGGATTTCGGTATCCCGATATTTTCCGTACAGAAACATCGTTCATAAAGTGTAGCTGATAGTAGGTATGTAAAAAAAGGTAAGTGAGTAACAACGCATTACAGTGCAGTTTTATGTCCAAAGATCTTACTTATGCCGTGCAAAGTCGTTATGCACAAGTATTGGTTACATATATACCTAATTGACATTGTTTCACACCGTCTCAGCCTTCACAATGTGGCGAGAGACGAGCTCTCTCTCGGCTCATCTCTCGCTCCCCGCGACGTCCCTCGCGTACTCGGTTTAACAGATCATTTTGCACGATGACATACTATGCCGACTATCGAATTCGAGTCCATCGAGTGGGAGGAGGTCGGCCGTCTTCTCTGTGTGACTGTGGGAGCACGTCTGGTGGCTCAGTTACTGTCAGTGCCCCGTGGCTGGACGATCCATGAGGCTGGCCGGGCGCCCTGGGCATGGTTACCGTTAGTGAATAATTATTAACCAATATAACGCCTTTTGGGGCGACTAACGGAGCGAGCGAGAGGGTGAGCCTTGCACGTGCGAAATTGCGAGGGGGTACCTCCAACTGAGTTGTGCACGGCACCCTACTAACCGGTCTCTAGCGATGTGCCAAATTTGAGCACAATCGGCCCAGCCGTTCTCGAGATCTGGAGGCGGCACCCTGCACGTGCGCACGTGCAAAATGGGTCCCAACTGACTTTTGCACGGCACCCTACTAACCGGTCCCTAACCATGTACCAAATTTGAGCGCCATCGGTCCAGCCGTTCTCGAGATCTGGAATCGACCCCTGCACGTGCGCACGTGCAGCAGCACCTCAACTCTGGCACATGGATATGCATTGCATAGTGGGTGCCTACCTACATGCCAACTTTCAGCGCAATCGGCCAAGTAGTTACCGAGATATTGCAACAATTGCAAAAGTGACACCTCTTCGTTTTGCACGTGGCACGTGCATAAGGGGTCACCCACATGCATCGGGAATAGTCCAATACTTGGTAGAAGGAATGAAGCTACCCTACAAAAATTACCGCATGTAAATCGGTCAAGTGGTTGCTGAGATATAAGCCTCGCAAAAGCGTGACCACGGCCGGCCGGCCGGCCGGCCGCTCATACTCAGAAATTTCCGTTAAAGGGACCCTCCCACCTTAACATTAGTTTTGAGTTGAGATAGCCAAGTTTGCGGCCAGGCTCAGAAACCACCATTTATCCTGGTCGCAACCCCCGCAGCTTTATGGTGTTCAAGAAATTTCTTCCCTTTACTTGCAGGGTGGGACCAGCGTGGTCCCTATCTCTTAACCATTACGGGAATCTGATGACGTCATCAGGCTTTGGAACGTCCGTTAAATGTTTGACTAAAACGTTTTGTAACACGCGGTGGTATATGCTGCTTTGCGCGCAACAAATGCCGCACTTTCAAATAAAGTCGCTAGGAACAGCGGAGATCCCAAAAAGTAAACAAAAGTAAAAGTCTAATATCTTGAAAACCGGTTAATATTTTTCGATGAAATTTGGTAGATATTCGTTTTTGCTCTTTCTGAACCGAGCGACATCACTTTCATGCCAATTCATTAACTTTTTTGAAGGTGGGAGGGTCCCTTTAATCTAAGGAAAGACTACGCTCGCTTCGCTCGCTCCGTAATTACGTGCCTTTGTGATAAGCTATAGCTAACTTTGCCAAAATGTCGGATTTTGCTGAATTTAATTGCATGTAAACTGCATGTAAACGCGATTGCATGTAAACTGTCTGATGCGTTGAAACAGCGCATCCGACAGAGACGGTCACGTGCTGCTAAAGTCCTACAATCGCTCCATAACAAAATGTCGGCAGACAGAGACTGGAAAGATATTTTTCCTAGTGCCTCTCGCAAGGAAGCACAGGACTTATGTCCACATGATGGAAAGATTGGGAGAACAGATGCATGATACCGAAGTAGGTGTAGATACAGAAGTGATGGACGCTGATGATCCTGAATCAGCGCCGTCTCTTCAGTCGATGCTTCAACAAGCTCTAGATGAGGTTAGAGCTCCAGAGCAAGGCACCAGTTCATGCCCGTCTGGGATTAACTTTTAGCAATCTTCTCTGATGATGACGAAGGCCATAAGGAAAGAATTGGAAAATTTACCTATCTCAGGAAGGACAGGCATGGTAGCGCTGTCCTACAACTGGCTGAAGGGCATAGTTCCTACGAGTGTTGAATCGGAACGAGTGTTTTCCACTGTCGGGAATATCGTCACAAAAGTGCGGTCGAGTCTCGGCGACGAAGTCGTTGATGCACTTTGCTTCCTCAAGTGCTACTACCGTAACAAGTGAATGTGACCAGGACATGCTGCTGGTCAGACGACCACAATCCGTAGGCACGTCTACTGTATCCTGACTCGAAATATAAACAAGAAATACAATGATCGATGTCATTCATGCTCTTATATTTGTTCGGGGTGAAGGTGTATGCCTGGTATTGTGTTTATGATGGTAAGGATGCGCCATATACATACGATATTGCAAGAAAATTCTGCTTTGTAGACAGGTTAAAATAAAAACTGCTCAATCCCGGGATCCCGGGATATCCCGGGATTGCATTTCTAAAATCCCGGGATCCCGGGATTGCCAAAAAGTCCCGGGATTATCAGCCCTACCAACCACGACCCGGCCTAATTTCGCCATTTGCTGCCCGCCATGACTAGACTCTATTTCTAGGCGCTCCCGTCTTTCGCTTGGCAACAGAGAAACTAAATAATGAACTGGCTGCCGGGAGCGTTTGGTTTTGTGGCGTCACCTCACGCCATTGTGTCTGCGCTCGTGACTGACGGCGCGGAGCGGTGTCTGCCGGCGCCTGACACCGGCACGGGGCACGGCCGGCGCGCCCGCACGGCTCCCACGGCGGCGGGCCGTCACCCAGCGGGCGGCGCACAGACACCGGCCGCCGGTCTCAGTGGGGCACGAACCGCCTCAGTCCTGCAGTGGAGGGCGTGCTGCAGCTAGCGGTGTGCTTTGGTGGTGATGGGTAAGATTCCCATTGTGGAAAGGATTAGTGGCGGTGCTGGTGGTGTATTATCTCTTGGTAGTGACTGCTGAGGACCTGTCATGGCAGGTACCGTTCCAACTGCTACATTCCGAACATTTATCCGTATTGATACCTATTCGTCAGGCGTTAATATGACTCAACTGGATCTCCCTCATGCGATGCGGTTTTAAAAATCTACTAGTTTGGGACTCAAAATGTGAAAAAAATCCCGCTTTATGGCAAAGACTTATTTATGCGATAGATAAAGCTGTGAATGCTTGGAAGGATTTTGAATGGAAATGAAATGCTTGCTAAATTCCAAGATTGAAGTGCACATGTCCTAACATCAAACTGGGCGCCGTAAATGCCACGCCTGTAACCAAAATTAATCATTAACATCATTAATAGCATTAATTATCTTTCTCCAAAACCTAAAGGTCGGATGTTACTAATAGCAAAACTGTTTTGTTCTAAAACTTTGATTTGTTTCGATATGCTCATTTTTAAGCTATATCGGACAAACAACACCGGAAGAACTTATGCCTGAATTGTCACACCTGCCATGTGTAACATATTACAGAATGAGGAGCCGAACGAAAGGGAGGTCGGGAGATACAAAAAGTATTAACAACTGTCAGCAGCCTATTGGTCCTTGTGTACCTACTAAATCTAAATCATCACTGTCCCGGGTGTTCCCCGTATTGCAGACTCTGACGACAGTGACAATGAGGGCGGCATGGGCAACGTCAACCGCGCCGTCATGCGACCACCGGGACACTCGGGGAAGGCCAAACGCGGCCACCTCTGCTTCGACGCCTCCTTCGAAACAGGTCTGCTCGCTCGTTTACCTACAACCAATGCTTTCAGGTGCAGTTGAAACTCGCTCGCTTGTTTCATATCAAATGCTTTTTTTCAATATCCGCGATGCTTCAATACAATATCTGATAGAGTGGAAACGATACTTTGCTCCGTTCAGTTTGTGAGCCATGCGGCACAGCATAACACCAGGCGCTGACTGGCAATGCCACCTAGCGAGCAAAGGGTGAACTAGCTGCGGCCGACCGATGATGGCTATTGCCGATCGCGCATGAATAACTGTCGAATCTCAATACATGTGCCTGTTGGACTGTTTATGTTTCTATACTCGCCACCTGCGCTGTTTTGCAGGGAATTTGGGCCGGGTGGACTACATCAGTGAGTTTGAGTACGACCTGTTCATCCGACCGGACGCCTGTAACCCCCGCTACCGTATCTGGTTCAACTTTGTCGTGGACAACGTCCGACAAGACCAGGTAGGTAACAATTACTGAATGCTGACTGAGCCAGGAGATTAAACTTATCGGGTTCATGAATGAGCGAATGAGCATGCAAAGTGCTTTCAAAGAATTTCTTTCCCCTGCGGTGGGATGAGCGGCGCTTTTGTAACAATACATTTAGAGGTGAGAACATTTTTATGTCTTTCCTATTATTTTTTCGTTGCAAGGACGTAGCCAAGGGGGGCACGGGGGCTATGCCCCCACCCCACCCCACCCCTGAAGGCGAAAAATAAAACAAAATTGTATAAAAAATAAAAATAGATAAAAACAGCTGGACTACACCCTAAAAAAATAGTGGGCCAAAACCGAGGAGTTTTCCGTTTTTGGAGGGGGTGCGACCCTAGGTCACGACCTGTGGCCCCTCCCTGAGCAAAATACTGGCTACGTGCCATCTACTGCCATGGTATTTTACAGAGAGTGATCTTCAACATCGTGAACATGAGTAAAACGAAGAACCTCTTCAGGGATGGAATGACACCGCTGGTGAAGTCCACGTCTCGGAACAGATGGTAAGACCGTGATGCCTGAAATACTGTTACAAGGCCGTTAGATAACGTCGTTATTGAATTGCAACGTTTCCGCTAGCCTCGCGCCGTTTCAAGCATCGTCTGCCGTCTGTTCTCACGAGTCCCTTGCGCATGTGACAGCCAGCGTCTGCTTGGTGTCCTCACGGGCCCTGTGTACCTCCCTACAGGCAGCGCCTGCCGGCGCGGAACGTGTACTACCACCGGTCTGCCGAGCACCGCGGTCACTACATCCTGTCGTTCGCGTTCGCGTTCGACCGGGAGGAGGACGTGTACCAGTTCAGCGGCTGCTTCCCCTACTCCTTCTCGCGGCTGCAGCTCTACCTGGCCGAGCTGGAGCGACTGCAGCTGCCCTGGATCCGCCGGCAGACGCTCACTCTCACCGTGGTGAGTGCCGCCCGTCGGCAGACGCTCACTCTCACCGTGGTGAGTGCCGCCGCCGCTTGGATAGCTGGAGATATGTCGTTACAGACTAAGTTGCCATGCTGGAGCCGCTCGGCAATGAACATAAACGTACACGTTTTAGAGCTCAATCACACGAGTGCACCTACTTCATTTGTCCCGTGACATAGATTGATAGCGTCTGTGCTATGATTGTCTCTACAAACATGCACCGTATTGTGACGTGTGTGCCGGCCAGCAGAAGCGCGAGTGTGACCTGGTGGTACCTTCATTGTGACGCGTATGTGTGACCGTCTGATCCCGCAGCAGAAGCGCGAGTGTGACCTGGTGTGACCTTCATTGTGACGCGTATGTGTGACCGTCTGATCCCGCAGCAGAAGCGCGAGTGTGACCTGGTGGTATCTTCATTGTGACGCGTATGTGTGACCGTCTGATCCCGCAGCAGAAGCGCGAGTGTGACCTGGTGGTATCTTCATTGTGACGCGTATGTGTGACCGTCTGATCCCGCAGCAGAAGCGCGAGTGTGACCTGGTGGTATCTTCATTGTGACCAGGGGCGCCGCCACGGATTTTTGACTGGGGGGGACGGACTGACCGGCTGAAAACCCAAAAGTAGACATTCTTACCGTGACTTTTTCGGTCGGATGCATTCAACGTTTAAAGCAAATATGCCACTTTTAACATAGGGTTTCGAACTGAAGTAACAGTTTTGTAGCTTGAGCTGAGACGAGAACAAATCAGGAGCTTTTATGGCCCAACGATCACCCTAGCCAAATATATCGGTATCGATTTTAGGTTTGAAGACTGAAGTCATTCCCATAGATTACACTTAGTCATTCTCTTACCGAGGAATCCATTACCTTACGGAAAAATGCTAGCGAATCAGCATTCAGCTGGTTTGAACTACGTACTACGCTTGGTCAACGCGTAATCAGCTTCCGCTGCAATAGGTATAGGTAAGTAGCCTCTACGAAAGATGGAAAATAGTGATGTAAAAATAAATCTAAAATCCTTTTGCAAATATTCATTATCTCCTGACCATTTTAAGTTTAAAAACTCATAAAACTGTGGCAAAACAACTGGTTTGAGGAAAGTAGTTGAGGTACATAGGTGTCGATTTCTACCGAGTTGGGGGTGCCCGGTCGCAGCAAATCCGCCGCCGCCCTAGCGGTGACCTTAACCTGCGCGGTCTGTTGAGGCTCCAAAGCCAAGCCGGCCGAGCCGGCGGGGAATTTGGAGAGCTCGGGCATCCCCGACTTGGCGGAAATGGACACCAATGTTTAGGTATTTCCTTAAAGTAATGGCTATAGACCGCATTCCCACCGAGTACCTACCTATATACACATCTGATGTCCGATTCAGTTTGACACGGCAAAGCCTCGTGTTTTATCACGGTATAGTCGCTGATGTATGCCACTAATATGATCGATAATGCGTATTGCATAGGTAATGCATATTGCATACCCGCGTGGGGGAGGGGGCGTTGTAAAGTCACAAATCTCTTTTTGATCTGTGCACGAATCGGCGCGAAGCGCCGCGAAAATTGGCAAAAAAAAACAGGCAAAACTGCTCCAAAATACGAATTTTGCAGCCCGTGTAACAAGCATGATACCAGAAAACCTTAGGTCAGGAAAACCAAGTCAAGTAGTCAAGTCACCTCAAAGTTTTTTTTTTTTTGGTCCTGTCAACCGTATAGCTTATTTCTTAGAAGCTGGAAATTTAGTGTAGCGTGACTGCAGAAGTGCGGGGTCGGAGCCGGAATCAGTCGGAGTTGACTGTTTTGGCCAGTTTTGGCCAGAGTCGGAGTTGAAGTCTTCGAAAATGTTCGGATTTTGACTTCGAGGTCGGATTGGTGTAAAGTCATGCTCTTGGCTGGTTAGACGAAATATATTAGGCCCGTGTTCGGCCAGTTGTGTTATACGACACACGTTGATCACGATATCAAAAATCGGCAGTTCCGCGTTGACAGGTCGGATAAGAGCTGGATATTTTGTTGGCCGAGGTGGCAGGGGTCAGACCAATGCATGTAGGCCCACGCCCCATATACTGAGTATCTAAACCTCCTGGACCCTCTCAGATTCGGCACCGGCCGTTCCATCTCTTCCATCCTCAGGACAGTCAAATCCTTCTCCTCCACGCCGCAACCCCCTGCTCCGGGCTGGACGGGCAACTCTATCCCATGCGGGAATGGCTCCACTGGAGCTATAGTCCTTTGACGGGTGCAGTGAATGCCAGTGGGCTGGGCTGCCTGTTCAATTGGTCGGGTTCATCCCAAGTGGCTCACTGGGGTGACTGCCCCGACCAATGTCTCCCGCTAATTCTTTCATACTTGCGGCTCTGAAATGGTCTCATTGGACCGAAGGGCCTAATCAAATTTCGAGTAGTATAACAACCAGTAAAACGCCTTTTGGGGCGATCAACGGAGCGAGCGAGAGGGTGGGGTGGGCCTTGCACGTGCAAAATTGCGAGGGGATACCTCCAACTAACTTGTGCACTGCACCCTTCTAACCGGTCCCTAACGATGTGCCAAATTTGAGCGCAATCGGCGTAGCCGTTCTCGAGATCTGGAAGCGGCACCCTGCACGTGTGCACGTGCAAAATGGGTTCCAACTGACTTTTGCACGGCACCCTACTAACCGGTCCCTAACCATGTATCAGATTTCAGCACAATCGGTTCAGCCGTTCTCGAGATCTGGAATCGACCCCTGCATGTGCGCACGTGCAGCAGCACCCCAACTGTGGCACACGGATATGCATTGCCTAGTGGGTATACCTACCTACATGCCAACTTTCAGCGCAATCGGCCCAGTAGTTGCCGAGATATTGAAATTGTTACAAAACTGACACCTCTTCGTTTTTCACGTGGCACGTGCATATGGGGTCACTCACATGCATCGGGAATAGTCCGATGCTCGTTAGAAGGAATGAATCTAGTGCTACCCTACAAAAATTACCGCATGTAAATCGGTCAAGTGGTTGCTGAGATATAAGCCTAGCAAAAGCGTGACCACGGCATACTCAGAAATTTCCGTTAACCTACGAAAGACTACGCTCGCTTCGCTCGCTCCGTAATGAGTTTGGGGGGAACGTCCCCCTTCCATTCTGAGAGTGGGGGGGACGCGTCCCCCCCGTCCCCCCCGGTGGCGGCGCCCATGATTGTGACGCGTATGTGTGACCGTCTGATCCCGCAGCAGAAGCGCGAGTGTGACCTGGTGGTATCTTCATTGTGACGCGTATGTGTGACCGTCTGATCCCGCAGCAGAAGCGCGAGTGTGACCTGGTGGTATCTTCATTGTGACGCGTATGTGTGACCGTCTGATCCCGCAGCAGAAGCGCGAGTGTGACCTGGTGGTATCTTCATTGTGACGCGTATGTGTGACCGTCTGATCCCGCAGCAGAAGCGCGAGTGTGACCTGGTGGTATCTTCATTGTGACGCGTATGTGTGACCGTCTGATCCCGCAGCAGAAGCGCGAGTGTGACCTGGTGGTATCTTCATTGTGACGCGTATGTGTGACCGTCTGATCCCGCAGCAGAAGCGCGAGTGTGACCTGGTGTGACCTTCATTGTGACGCGTATGTGTGACCGTCTGATCCCGCAGCAGAAGCGCGAGTGTGACCTGGTGGTATCTTCATTGTGACGCGTATGTGTGACCGTCTGATCCCGCAGCAGAAGCGCGAGTGTGACCTGGTGTGACCTTCATTGTGACGCGTATGTGTGACCGTCTGATCCCGCAGCAGAAGCGCGAGTGTGACCTGGTGGTATCTTCATTGTGACGCGTATGTGTGACCGTCTGATCCCGCAGCAGAAGCGCGAGTGTGACCTGGTGTGACCTTCATTGTGACGCGTATGTGTGACCGTCTGATCCCGCAGCAGAAGCGCGAGTGTGACCTGGTGGTATCTTCATTGTGACGCGTATGTGTGACCGTCTGATCCCGCAGCAGAAGCGCGAGTGTGACCTGGTGGTATCTTCATTGTGACGCGTATGTGTGACCGTCTGATCCCGCAGCAGAAGCGCGAGTGTGACCTGGTGGTATCTTCATTGTGACGCGTATGTGTGACCGTCTGATCCCGCAGCAGAAGCGCGAGTGTGACCTGGTGGTATCTTCATTGTGACGCGTATGTGTGACCGTCTGATCCCGCAGCAGAAGCGCGAGTGTGACCTGGTGGTATCTTCATTGTGACGCGTATGTGTGACCGTCTGATCCCGCAGCAGAAGCGCGAGTGTGACCTGGTGGTATCTTCATTGTGACGCGTATGTGTGACCGTCTGATCCCGCAGCAGAAGCGCGAGTGTGACCTGGTGGTATCTTCATTGTGACGCGTATGTGTGACCGTCTGATCCCGCAGCAGAAGCGCGAGTGTGACCTGGTGGTATCTTCATTGTGACGCGTATGTGTGACCGTCTGATCCCGCAGCAGAAGCGCGAGTGTGACCTGGTGGTATCTTCATTGTGACGCGTATGTGTGACCGTCTGATCCCGCAGCAGAAGCGCGAGTGTGACCTGGTGGTATCTTCATTGTGACGCGTATGTGTGACCGTCTGATCCCGCAGCAGAAGCGCGAGTGTGACGTGGTGACGGTGGGCCCGCCGGAGGCGATGGACGGCCACCTGCCCACCAAGACGGTGGTCATTATGGCCAGAGTGCACCCCGGCGAGACGCCCACCTCGTTCATCATCAAAGGTGAGCCGCAGAGGAGACGGCGGTGCACCGGGCTGCAGAGCGGCAGCATCAGAAACGGGAATGGACTTTGTAGCTCCTTTTTTTTTGCACAAGGAGAACAAATTCTTTAACCTTCATAAATATATTTGACCGAAATGGCGGTTTCGTATCCGGTAAACGCAATTCTCTTCGAATAAAACGTTTTTTCCATGTCCTACTCTAAATCCCGTCGTTTCAGGTTTGCTCGATCTGCTGACGGCAGACCATCCGGTTCCCACTCAGCTTAGGCAGCATATCGTGATAAAGATCATCCCCATGCTCAACCCAGACGGCGTGTTCCTAGGCAACCACAGGTGAGGCACGCAATACCGTCTCATCTAATCACGTTTAGCGATGAATCCGATAGAACATGTTTGCTCTGTCTAAACATGAGACAGACGCTACAATCGCATATTTTATTCCGGGAATTTTCGATGCAAGACATTCATAGCATAACAGAAGCACGCAATCGTCTTGTTTGGTCTTCGGATCGCCCTAAAATTTTCACACCGTGCTTCTGCTAATAACGATCCGCTGACTCCTCAGGTGTTCGGTGATGGGGGCCGACCTGAACCGCGCCTGGCAGGAGCCGTCGGAGTGGGGCCACCCCACCATCCACGCCGCCAGAAAGCTGCTCCACTCACTCGACACCAACAAGGTGGGAAGTAGAACGTTATGGAATGACGTTGTAGTGGAACGTCGTTATAGCGCTTGTGTGGCGCCAAAAAACGCTCTTCTTGGCCGGTGAGGTGTGGGTGCACCGAGTGTTGGACTTGCTCCATAATAGACCGACGAAACGTCAATAAAACTGGTCGCTGGAAACTGAGCAGTGAGCACAGTCAACTAACTAGTTGCACTCCTTAAATGTTCAACTGATACCGATTTTAACCTCCGTCTTATCTTCTTAAAGATACGTGCCGTGCTCTAATTTATTTTAACGTTTGCACAATATTGCAGAATAATGGGTTGGAAATAGTGCTGGACCTCCACGCCCATACGAGCCTCCTCGGCTGTTTCGTCTATGGAACAACATACGAAGACGTCTACAGGTCAGTTTGGCAACGTGGAGAAACCGAGGCGGCTGACATTTGGGGCTATGGATTTTCTGATCGGTAAATCGTATCTGACAAGCTATAGTGATTTGACTTCAGCTATGTATTCTGGTGCGGTCTGTGAACGACGTAGGTAGGTAATGATTACAAAAGTAGGCTCTTATTTTGAGCTCGGACCTCATCAATCTGTTTGGTAAAAAGCTCTAGGAACTTGAAGCACGAGCTGTATACGAATATGTATATCCAATCGCCGAGGACTGAGGTTGCTGTCGTAATTTTGTATTGCTGTCGCATTTCAGGCACGAACGGCACATCGTATTTCCGAAGATGATGAGTCAAAACTCGGAGGACTTCAGCCATACTAACACAATCTACAACAGGGACCCGCTGAAACTGGGCACTGCACGCAGGTAAATGGCATTTGACGAATGAGGATGTATTGCGGCACAGTATCCGATCCGGTGGTGTGTTGCGACGTGTAACCTCCAGTGGTGTGCGAACTGCGAGTGTGGCACCTAGCGCCTGTCCCGTGCCAGTGCCCCATCCACACGGCGGCGCACTGACCCCTCCGTCCGCCGTCAGGTACCTGTGCTCCCAGCTGAGCGACTCCGTCAACTGCTACTCGCTGGTGGTGTCCATGTACGGCTACACGGGCCGCCACGGCGAGGGTGTCATTCCCTACACCGAGGAGGCCTGTATCCTCTACCACAGACCGGCTGAAGGGGCACAGAGAGCTGCGGTACTCGCACGGCAGCTGTGTGGTCATTGCGAGGCGGGTGGCGACCCTCTCACTACCAGCCGAACTCAATGTGATACAGTCGTCAGCAAAGTGATTCGATGTTGCTTAGATGGTACGAGTTTTATGCTGCTACGTTTCAAGCCCAGTAATTTAATTTTCATCCCTCTTTTTCATAGCATAAGTTCCACAAAAAAACATAAGTTCCGATGTTCAGTCGAAACGCCTTTTGTTCAGCGTTTCCCCAGCATGTGGATGCATTTTCCCTTAGCACCTTCTGCAGACATGCGTTTGGGCCGGGACCTGGGCCGCGCACTGCTCGACTACTTTAGGGCGATGCAGGTGATTCCTTCGCCACCCAAGTCGACGGCAGCACCGGCAGCCGGCGCAGAGCGGCCACCTCGAGCACACAGGTAAGGAACGCTGCTGCCTAGGGACCCACAGGAACGTAACGGCTACTGGTAATTTTTGATTATGTTTAGCAGCGTGCATTTGACCAATATCGGTTATCCAACTTCGTTATCATAACCTTCTTCGACTCCGTTTTTCCGCGTTAATATACTATGCTGCCGTGTGCCGTCACGCTGTTCCGTGTCTTCTCCAATGCCGTTAGCAGAGTGCACGGGTTTATGATGCGGTTGCTGACTGTGTCTGTTGGCTCCCAGGCCGCCCGGTAGCGTTACGCCGGCGCCTGCCGGCGGCGCCGCCCCTCCCCCTCCGCCTCCGTCCGACCCGGAGCTGCAGCGGTACCCGCTGACCGACTCGGGCGCCTCCTCGGTCCGCGGCGAGTCGCCCCGAACGCCGGCCATCGACGTGCGCGTCCGCGAGCGGCGAGAGCGCGCCGTCGGCCCGGCCGCGCCGCCGGGCCGCCGCCGGCCGGCCGTGGTCAGCGTGCGCTCCTACGTGGCCGACGACCGGACGGCCGGCTCCTCGGACGACTCGGCCGGCTCCGGCGACTCGGCGGAGTCGGAGACCACAGACTCGGAGGCCGCGGCCGACTCGCCACAGACCGGCCCGGCCGCCAGGCAGCCGCTGCGCCGGCTGGCCATCAAGAGCGTGGACTTCCGACGACTGGAGCGGCTGCGGCGGCGGCAGCGGCGCGCGGCGGCCGCCGCCATGCCACGGGGCCGGTCCGGCGCGGCGCACCACCTCTCCGGTGGCTCCGGGCGGCGGCCGCGCGGCGCCGGCTTCTTCGGCGGCCGGCCGCGCGCCCTGGCGGCGCTGGCAGAGCCGGAGTTCGGGCCGCTGCTGCTCGCCGGTCCTCTGGTTGGGTCAGTGCCGGCCCCAGTCCCGCCTCGGGCCCCGTCCGCGGCCCTGACGGCGGGACCAGCGGCGCCGGCCGACGTCCCGGCCGGCCCGAGGGTCAGTGTGCTCGATATGAGTCAGCTGGCGCGTGGGGGTCACCAGGACGTGACATACAGCCGCCTGGGGGCACGACCGCACCGGCGCCGCACCCAGACGGCGGGGAAGAGCGCGGAGAAGCAGGGCCTCGGCAAACCAGGATAATGCTGGACGTACATACGGGCTTTGTTAGAGGGCGTCTATGCCAGCAATAGATAGGTGGGCACTGCACGTGTTTTCGGTCTTTATAACAAATCGTATGGTGCGTAATATCGTTTTCAGCACGGTTACTGTATGTACGGCCCTGCAGCAAAAGAGTGGTTGGTTAGCCTATGTGCTTTTGGTGAAATAACTTTAAATGACAGAGACACTGCTGTAAAATGACTCAATAGAAATGAGAAGAGGGCTCGTGCACACATTGCGGCAATGGTTTTCAACAGCGATTAGACGTATTCATCAATACAGATCGCTTATTGTAATGTTGGCAACCAACCACTTAATACCTGGAGGGCCGTACACTGGTTGGTACTGTCCTCTGGTTACTGTCCACTGCACTGGTGCATGGGCAATGAGCATGATATTACCAAATCCATAGGTTTGACCAGTGATTGGTATCGTATCCACTATCCATGATTACGATGAACTGTGTAGGGGAAGATAATGTTTATCCACTCAACAATGCATGTTAACCTCCATTGGAAATTATATGCAAGTGCTATTTGAACGGTTCATCATGTTATATAATCATTACGCCTTACATAGTTTGTCGTGGTGGATACCGCAACGAAAACTCACCGCCGCAAGCATGTTTGGGCTTTGGAACACTCATCGACCCCCTTCCTTGACTGCATATGCGTCGTCTGGGCAGTCATTACGTAGACGATAACACATCACAGTGATGTCACAACATTCAGCTGTATCTTACCCTAAGCCCCCTGTTCAGATGAATATTGCTTCGTCAAAAGAGCTTTCTCTGAACTCTATCCATACACACTTCAATAAGGCAACCAAAAACTATATTTCTCCTGTATCCAGGGCACACTGTATCAAAGCGTAACAATCTTAGCCGCCAGCCGGTATAGCCCGGCTCCGGTAATCCATTTGACCTGATCAACAGACGACATATTCACCCATTGAGACACATTCCGGGTCCCGTACCTCCCCCCGCAGCCTCGTGGCAGCCTCCCACCCGTCCGTTCAGTCGGCATTAACACCATCCGATCTCTGACCCCCGGCCACCCACCGCAGACACGGCCGGTCGACCGTTCACCGCGCAGACAGCACTACCCTACCACAGCTGCCCCAGCGAGGCCATCATCTTGTTGACGAGGCTGAACATGCCGGTGCCGCCGGCGAACGGCTGTCCCATCACCAGCCGCGCCGAGGGAGACTTGAGCTCGTCCACCTGACCTGCGGGCACACGGGCCAGGCGCAGGGCGTCAGGTCACATGAGAGCCATGTCACACACGGATCATGTCACTTCATCGCGTACACATCCAATTAATTATAGCGCACATCAACACATCAACACCTAAAATGCTCTCCAATGCCAGACCTAAAAATACCGCACCCTCCGATCCGCTTCATTGCGCCATTATTGGTTGAATGTCCCCCTACCATCCCTCCCTTGAGTTCCTTTTCCTCTCGGCCCGTACCTGCTAGGACGGCGGTGCGCAGGAAGCCGACGGTGGTCTCGAAGCTCATCTGCTGCAGCGGCGAGACCACAGAGTCCATGGCGGATCGGTTGTAGCCGCGCACCTGGCCGCTGAACGTCATGTACTCGGCGATCAGACTGAGGTGGCGCCGGCTCACCTGGATGCCGTACACCTCGAACACGGACGATATCTCCTGCGGGCGGACCGAGCACAGCCGGTGGGAGGACCTCGCACAGTGGAGCAGTGGGCTAAATCGCATACCCGAGACAGGTCAGAATGGAAGTGGCGATACCAAAACACTCGCATCATGAATGTTGTATTACCTTTCATGCCATTCCAGCATCCAGCACGGCATATGTAAAAGTGAATATCAGCCTATCTCGCTCCAACTCTTTCCCCATCACGTTTGAGCCGTCCTCTTTCGGCTCCCCCGTTTCCCCACCCCTTTCGACCCCCTGGCCGACTAACCTTGACGATGGCCCTGGATGCGGCCTCGATGCCGTACGTATCGGCCATGCTGTGCAGGTCGTTACAGTACATCCGGTTCAGATCCAGCAGCTCGGAGAATCGCGCCATGTACTGAAACAAAGCACGGTGATGGGTCGGTCATCGCGCACTACATAGGCTGACAGACGTGGAAAAATGGGGCACCGGGCACGATCAACAAACACTGGATTATGTAGATGCATAAAATGTGCCGTGGAACAATCTTATTGACTTTTAATAAGTGCTCAAAACCTCGAAAAGGTAAGCAGCGAAGAAACAAACGTCGGCATCTGTTTAACATGAAGGAAAATGTAAAATTAACCTTAAGCTATACCATTTCATTAGGGTGTTTGTGCATGTTTCACAATGGACAGCGCTCTCACTGCCTCTCGTCGTCTTACTGACCGTCATGTTGATGCCCTCGGTGCAGAGTCGCAGGCCCTTCCGCTCGTCATCCATCACGAACACCCGGGAGATGCGCGGCACCTCCCGGATGACGCCGGCCGTGGCGGCGTCCGTCACCAGAGTCTGGATGTCGCACTGTTTGCTGGTGGTCACCTGGGCACGAACATGGAACGGGAGGTGGTCAGACACCACGGCATAGAGATAAAGCAGGCGTGAATAGAGACTCACTGCAGTTTCTAGTTCGTCCAGTGCTACAACTGGCATGCTTGATTGCAAAAATGGCAGCGTTGATGTGTTGTGCTCGACAAAAGTAAAAGTTCAAAAGTGTCTAACTCACCATGACAGTGAAGCGACACCAGCGCTCGTGTTTCTGGTCGAAGTCGTACTGTGTGACGCGGCAGCTCTCCAGACTGAGCGCGCACACGGCGGCGCGGCGCAGCTGGGCGTCCTTGGTGCGTGCAGGGCTGGCCGCCAGCTCCTCCGCGTCGTCCTCCTCCTCCCCTCCCTCCGGGCTGACGGGCCGCGACTCGTCGGCGTCGGCCCCCTCCCCCTCCTCCTCCTCCTCCGACTCGTAGTCGGCCTCGTCATTACGCCGCGCCTTGGAGCGCGCCGCCGTGGCGTCGTCGTCCGCCTCGGCCTCGCCCTCCGAGTCCTCCTCGTCAGCGTCTCGGTCCGGCGCGCCGCCGCCGCCGCCGCCGGTCGGCTCGTCCGCCGCCTCCTGGGCAGACGGGTCGTCGGCGGCCTCCCCACTCGGCTGGTCGGCGTCCTCCGGCTCCGCGTCCTGGCTAGCCGGCGCCGCGCCCTCCCTCTGCAGCACGCCGCTGACGTCCTTCAGCTTGAACGTCTGCGCCAGCTTCTTGAGGAAGCGCCGCACCCAGACGTCCTCGACGTACTGCAACACGCCGGCCGGCGTGACGGCGAACTCGTCCCGGTAGGCGGAGCGCGGTAAAAAGTCGAGCTGCAGCCGGTACGAGCGCGTCTTGCCCGACTGACACGACTCAGTGACGGTGATCTGGCGCAGCACCTGCGCCAGCGTGACGCGCGTCAGCTTCAGCCGCAGCCGGCGCGCCCGCTCGGCCACGTTCGACACGCCGCTCCGGAACGGAATCTCCATGCTGGGCGTCTTCTGGCTCTTGGAGGCGGACAGGATCTCGCGTAAACGGGGGATACCTGGCGGACGGGGAGAGAACGGTTAAACGGCGCAGTTCAGAAACATGAAGACATTCAAGATTGTTGAAAGCACATAAATATTGACTGAAGCATCTTTCTGAACATGAGCTGCTGGACAGTGCTGTGCAATTAAGTCGCTAATAAGAAAACGAAGATGCAGATTCACACAAGATAAACCGACTTAATGCACGTATACAGTCAAGAATGACTCGACCACCTACCCAGTGTGACGTTCATGTCTCCCAGTCCGGCGAAATGGAAGGTGTTCAGTGTCATCTGAGTGGACGGCTCGCCGACCGACTGAAATAGCAGGGATGCAAACGTTAAAACTAGGAACACAACATGCGACAAAGCGGGGCGCATAATAATCACTACAATAGGCGCACAAGGGGGCACATCCAGGGCGGGCAAGACCCGAATTTAGTCCATCACTATACCCTGACCGGTTCCCAGCCCAGCACCACACCCTGTCGCACCACCCACCCCCCTCCTTCACCCACCTGTCCGGCGATGAGGCCGACCGCCTCCCCGGGGTGCACCACGGCGCGCGCCGCCTTGAAGTACAGCATGTCCCTGAGCTGGTCGGTGGCCCCGCCGGGCCGCGACTCCAGGTAGTCGCACAGCATGGCGTCCATTTTCTCGCAGACGGACGAGAAGTGCGAGTCGGGCGGGTAGGCGGCGTCCACGGGATCGGGACAGCGCTGTGCCGCGTGTCGGTACGGCCGGCGTGACTCGAGCTCCTCCCACAGCGTCACGCACTGGTGGTAGCTGAGCGGCCGCCGCGTCTTCGGGTGGCACTTGTGCTGGTTCTGCAGCGGCGCGCCGCGGCTGAACTCCAGGAACGGACTGGTGCGCCGGTGCTGACACGGGTCGCCGAACTGACTCTTCCACTTGCTCACCTTCCGCTTCAGCTTCCGTACCTCCTTCTCCTTGGAGCGGCTCTTGAACATGTCGACCAGGTCCGAGTCGAACATGCCCCGGTGGTTGTCGTCGAGGAAGGGCAGCTGCTGCTTGGTCAGGTAGGGCACCTTCTGTGTCTCACAGCCGTCCTCGCCGTAGCGGAACTGGATCACGCTGCCGTCACTGTCGCGCACAGTCGAGTCGTAGTTCACCACCAGGCCCTCGAGGTGTTTGATCAGACACCTCTGCAGGTATCCGGAGCGGCTGGTCTTGACGGCCGTATCGATCAGACCTTCTCGTCCGGCCATGCAGTGGAAGAAGTACTCCTGCGGCCGGATGCCCGTCATGAACCGACCGGAGATGAAGCCGCCGGCGCGCGGGCTCAGGTCGTACGGCGCGAAACTCGGCAGCGTCTTGCCGGACACCATGCGCGGCGGCCGCTTTCCCTCGAGCTCAATCTGTCCGAGCAGGCAGCTGATCTGCATGGTGTTCACCTTGGAGCCCTTGGCGCCGGCCTCGACCATCAGCTGGAGGTTGTTCTCGGGGAACGGCTGGATCAGGCCGCGCGGCAGGCACGCCTTGTTGATGTCGTTGTTGACGCTGTCCAGTCGCTGTTTGTAGGCGCGGTCCAGGTCGCGCTGGGTGCGCGCCGCCGACGCCAGGTGGGCCTCCTCCAGCCGGCGTTTGATCAGCGTCACGTCCGAGCGCTCGGCGGCCGACACGATGCCGAGCGCGTCGGCGGTGGCCTCTGCGCCGACCCGGTCCGAGCGGCGCACTACGCGGCGTCGCTGCCGGTCCGCCTCGCACGTCACCAGGATGTCCTGCACGCCCAGCGTGAAGCCCATCACGTGCAGGCAGCAGGTGAAGAGACGTGAAAAGGCCGAGAGCAGCCGGCTGCTGGCGTCGCTGCCGTACAGCTCGTAGAAGCCGTGCACCAGGGAGAAGGGCACGGCGCCGAACTGCTGCTTGTCCAGCACGCCGCACAGCAGGTGGCCGCCGCGGATGATGACCTCGCCCTCGGACATGTCGGCGCCCTCCAGCGGGGTGCCGCCGGCGCGGGCCACGCGCGGCGCCTGGCGCTCCCACACCTGGCGGGAAGAGACGGGGAGAAATGTCACGGCACGAAACACGGGTATGGTACAGAACGGTAGGTAGGCAACAAACTGCCCACCGGACTGTGAGTGACAGCACGCCTTCAACGTTTATAAAATAGTAATTAATTACTCGCTGATAATAAAGTAGACGATGCAATGTTGAAAGCTCCGCCCCATTTCCGCCCCTCCGCTCCCTGAACAATCAGCAGCGCCAGGAGTGTCGCACATACCTTGGGGTTGAGTTTGGCCTTGGAGCGGAGGTTGATGGCCGGCCGGCCGGGCGGTGTCAGGTTGATGATCAGTGTTGATATGACCTGTTTGCCGGTCCACATCTGGCGCGGTTTGATGACGGCCGGTGGCAGGAGGCGCACCCGGCTGCGGTGGTCGCCCAGCCCGCTGGCCACCAGCTGCTGGTACTGGGCGCGGTCCAGCAGCGTGGAGCGCATCGTCAGTCGCACGCCGGCCACCACGTGGTCCTGGATAAGGCCGCCCAGCGGCGTGCCGTCCTTGGGCACCAGGAAGTGGTTGGGCGCCAGCGCCAGGTGGTAGGCCTCGCTGCGCGCCTCCTCGCCCTGCGGCAGGTGCACGTTCATCTCGTCGCCGTCAAAGTCGGCGTTGTAGCTCTTGCAGTTGGAGTAGTGCAGCCGGAAGGTTTTCTCGCCGGGCAGGACGCGCACGCGCTGCGCCATGATGGAGGGCCGGTGCAGGGTGGGCTGCCGGTTCACCAGCACCACGTCGCCGGTGACCAGGTGGCGCAGCACCACCTTGGGGCCCAGCTGCTTCTTGGACAGCTCCTCGGAGGGCGTCATCAGACTGGCCGCCATCGAGGCCAGCTGCTTCGGGTCGTCCTTGAGCATCACCTTGAAGCCGTTGCTGTTCCAGATGGCGTTGGCGCCCGGGTGCCGGTTGGGCCCGTTGAGCACGGCGCGCTGCAGCAGTGCCAGGTTCTGCGGCGTCACCGGCTCCGGGTACGTCAGCTTCTTGGCCATCACCTCGGGCACGCCGATCTCCTGCACGCTCAGGTACGGGTCCGGTGTGATCACCGTACGGCCCGCAAAGTCCACGCGCTTGCCCATCATGTTCATACGGAAGATGCCTTCCTTTTTCTCCAGTAGCTGTAGGCAGAACATAAGGTGTCTGCGTCAATATGATGTCAATTATGGCAGCCGTAATGTCACAAGGGCTCGGGAAGGCATCATACAACTCGCTCAAACTCAGCATGGAAAGTAGATAGTACTTCAACTCCTTTATATCTCCACCTATCATTCATAATATTGAAACTGACAACTCGGTCTTGATACACATATCAAAAGGTTTATCCTCTCCAGCCATCCCGCGCCGCGGCCACCCTCACCTGTTTCACCCCCTTCAGGTTTTTGGCGTTGAGCCGTTTGGCTGCCACTTTGTTCATCTCCGAGTCGCACACGCAGTCGACCAGTCCCTGCAGCGTGCCCCAGCAGCGGACGATCTTGTCGTCGATGGTCTGGCCGCGCACCGAGTCGAGCAGCCGCTTCTGGTCGTCGCCGAGTTTGGACAGGTCGGCGCCCTGCTGTCGCAGCTGGACCAGCTGCCGCAGCAGCAGGCTGCACTCCAGCACGCAGGCGTACACGTGCGACTGGGTGTGCTCCACCGGCCGGCCGTGCACAGAGTCCGTCTGCCGGGAGAGCAAACACAAACAGATGTGGGGGTCAGAACGCGGGGCAGCATTACCTGAGGTCACCTAAAACAGCTTTTGGATAAAAAGAATCATAGTGGACCCTATCATTCTATAGAGATGGTGATGGATGAAGACGCATCAACTCTTATATATCACATAACATGCAGTTATAGGTATCGCAAATAGCCAGCAATTAAGATTTCGACAATCGAGTCAGCGAAACAATCATCGAGAAGAAAATAGTGAAGACACCACGCCACAGAGGTCCGGCTCTCTACCGAGCTGACGCAGTGGCTCTACCGAGCTGGCCCCCTGGACGAGTCCGCCTTCAAGTGGTGGGGGGTGTGGTCGCCTGCGACCGCCGTCTGCGGTGGACAGCCGCGGACGGAATGCCAAACGGACTCAACTGGCCTCTCTTCCCTCTGCGCGCGGCCACTGCCTGGTGGCAAGTACTCTTCTACCGACTCTTCCTCGCCGAGGGTCGTCCGTCGCCTGGGCAGCGCTCAATGCCCCCGCGGGCCTGGGAGCCGCGCTCGCAGCGCGGCCCCGGCCCGCTGAGTGATTAGCGCGCCGGCCGCGCCCCCCTCCGTCGCCGGAGGAGGGAGCACCGACGGGGTGGGGACTGGCAGTAGGCGCCGCCTCAAGAACCGCCGCTACCGCAAGAATCGGGCCAGGAGAAGCCACGTGACGCTTGTCTCATGGAATGCCGAAGGTTTGCGCACCAAGGTGCAAGAACTGGGAGGCTGGCTTTCCGCGATTAAAGCAGATGTAGCGGCCATTCAAGAGGCTCAGCTGCCGAAGGCGGTGCCGAGCATACCAGGGTTCCAGCCCCCCGTCGTAGTGCGCAGGGCGCGCGGAAGACAGACCGGCGCGGTGTCGGCGAAGGGAGGAGACGTCGCAGTGTATGTCCGAGCTGGACTGCACTTCTCACCTCTCTCCGACCGGTACCTGGCGGCAGCGGACGACACCACGGAGCTCTGTGGAGTCCGTCTGCTAGGACCGCAGACACTGGATGTGCTCAACATCTACAGACCGCCCATCCGGGCGACGGGTGACGACCGAGAGGACCGCTTCGACCCGCGATGCCTCCCCAACAACAACAAGACCATCATCATCGGCGACATCAACGGCCATCACCCCAGCTGGGACAGGGCCTGCGAAGCGGCTGACGCGGTGGGGGAGAGGATGGCTGACTGGATGGAAGCGGAGGGATGGGTCCCGCTCAACAGCGGAGAACCCACCTTCGCGAGCTACCGATCAGGTGCTCAGACGGCCCCAGACCTCGCCGCGTGCAGTGCCCCCCTGGCCCGCAGGGCAGTGTGGTCTCTCGGCCCTGACCTTGGGAGCGACCACCTTCCCATGGTGGTGGAGGTGAGGTCCGAGACGGCGCCCCCCAGGAGGGTCCGCAAGACCAAGTGGGCGTTCCACAAGGCGGAGTGGCAGGCGTTCGCGGCCGACTGCGAGCAGTCGCTGGCCGAACTGGAGCCGGACCTGACGACTCAGGTATTGGCGGACCGGTTCGAGTCGGCGCTGCAACGGGCTGCAGTGCGCCACATCCCGCGAGGCGCCAGGGCGGATCCTCGCCCGTGGGCCTTGGACCCCGACCTCCAGGAGGCGATCATAGAACGGCGCGCGGCGCGCGCGGCCCTGCGCGATGGTGACACACCGTCCCGGGAGCGCTGGATCGCGGCCAAGCGGCGCGCGGCCGAACTGGAGAAGAAGGCCACCATCGCACACTTCAAGGACTTCGTCTCCACCACCTTGAACAGGCCAGCCAACGTCGGCAGGGTCCACAAGACGCTGAAGAAGTGGGAGCGATGTTGTGACGATGAGCCCAGGGACGGCCAAGCGATGCTGAAGGGAGACCGCCTCATCGTAACCGACCGCGATAAGGCAGAGGCCTTCGTCCAAGAGTATGCGAGGGTCTCGAAGCAGGTGCGCATACCGAAGCTGGACCGCGATACCAAGAGGCAGCTACGGGAAGAGCACCGCTCCTGCCGCGGGTGCGGCGATCGACGAGAAGGAGCATGCGGTCCCTTCAGCCTGCAGGACCTGGTCAGAGAGCTCAGCGGACTCCAGCTCAAGAAGACCCCCGGACCAGACGGCATCTCGAACGAGATGCTCCGACATCTCGGACCGGTGGCTCGCAAGGTCCTGCTGACCATCATCAACATGTCGTGGCGGACCGCAGAGGTCCCGAGGCAGTGGCGACAAGCGACGGTGGTCCCCATCCCCAAGGCGGGGAAGGACAAGCGACTCACCGCGAGCTACCGCCCCATCGCTCTGACCTCGCACGTCGGCAAGTTGGCTGAGCGACTCATCAAGCGACGTCTCACCTTCCTGGCCGAGTCCCGCGGACTGGTCCCACCGGAGCAGGTCGGCTTCAGGGCTGGCCGATCGGTCGAGGACAGCATCGGCAGACTCGTCCAGCAGGTGCAAGACGGATGGAATCGGCCCAAGTCCAGACGTGCAGACCCACCAGAAGGCACCACCGCCCAGAAGTACGTCCTGGTCGCGTATGACTTCGCGCGCGCCTATGACGTGGTGGACCATCGCCTCCTACGTCTGAGACTGCTAGAGCTGGGACTCCCGCGCTGCATGGTGCAGTGGACGTGGCAGTGGCTCCGAGACCGACAAGTCGCCGTCGAGGTGAACGGAGTGAAGAGTGGCGAACGGGTGTTTCGGGCGGGCCTACCGCAAGGTAGCGTCCTGTCCCCGCTCTTGTTTTTGTTGTGGGCGGCACCCCTCGCACACTCCCTCAAGGCGATCCAAGGATGCACACCCTATATGTACGCCGACGACACTGCAACCCTGTGCGCGGGTGCGAGTATCGAGACGGCCAGACACCGAGCCCAGCAAGCCGCTGACACGCTGACAAGATGGGCCAGGACATCGAAGATGGTCGTCTCGGGAGAGAAAACCCAGGTCCTGGTGCTCTCGCAGTGGCCGAAGGACGCAGTGGACCTGTCCATCAGGGTGGCTGGAGCGAGAGTTGAGGCCCGCGAGACTCTCAACCTGCTCGGAGTAACGCTGGATCGCCTCCTCCACTTCGGCCCGCACTGCAAGAGGATGCGACAGAGAACCCGACCGAGACTGCAACACCTCAGGAGACTGACGGGCAGGGACTGGGGGCTGGAAGAGCGGCAACTCCGCATCGTGGCCAACGGCTACGTCAGAGGCGCGCTGGAGCACGCCGCCGCTGCGTGGCTACCGGCCGCGTCCCCCTCCCACGTGGAAGTACTGGAGAGGGAGATGAGGGAGGCCGCCCGCGTCATAACGGGCTGCACGCGCTCAACCCCCACCGAAGCCCTGATGGCGGAGGCAGGACTGGCTCCGGTGACGGCCCGGAAAACCACCCTGGCGGCGCGATTCCTCGCGAAGGCAAGAGCCCTCCCAGAAGAGGACCCACTACGCCGAGTAGCGGACGCGACCGTCAACCCACGGTTGAAGGCGGTGACGGGCTGGCGCACGGTGGGTCTGGAGGCCTGGCACATGGCAGGTGTCGTGGCCCCGATCGAGCCGGTGCTGCCGCCCAGCGTCGCCCCGTGGGAGGAGGCCCCCCCGGTGGTCTTTGACCTGGGGATAGGAGCCACACCCCCCTCCGGAGCGTCCGCGGAGACCCGCCGACAGGCGGCCGCCCTGCACCTGGCGTCCCTCCCCCAGTGCGCGACCTGGGCCTGGACGGACGGATCCGCCACGGGAGGAGTGCTGGACGGTGGAGCGGGCGGCTATATCGAGTGGCCCGACGGGGAGAGCCACGAGCTCCGCGCACCAGCGGGCAAGCTCTGCTCGAGTTACCGAGCGGAGATGGTGGCACTCCGCGAGACACTAAACTACATCGGCAACCACACTGATCATGAGGAGGACCCCATCATACTGTGTACCGACTCGCAAGCAGCTCTATCTGCCCTACGGAGTGGCCCGGCCGAGCAAAGGACGCAGCTGAACCGAGCTGTCTGGGACGCTCTGGCCCTGGTGTCCGACAATGGAGAGCGGCAGGTGCGCCTTCAATGGGTCCCGTCCCACTGCGGGCTGCCTGGGAATGAGATGGCCGACAGCCTAGCCAAGGAGGCGGCATCTCTCCCCCAAGAGCAGGTACCGGTGGACACGCGCACAGTGCATAGAGCAGCGGCGCGAGCGGCGGACGCTCGCACACGAGAGCAGCGACCCCCAGGCTGGTTCCGAACCCTGATGGGGACAACGCGCCCACCCACAGTGTCTGGCCTGGACCGTCTGACGGCTATCGACGTCCACCAGCTGAGAGCCGGACACTGGTCAGGGTCGCAACAGTACCTGCATCGCATCGGCAAGAGCCCCACACGGCAGTGCGACGCCTGCAATGAACGAGCATGCGGCGGTGCCCTCTGCCCACTCTGTAAGGAGGAAGCCGACACCCCAGATCACATTCTGTTGCGGTGCCCAGCGCAGATGGGGCTTCGGTTCCGCCTGACGGGAAGCATACACGCCCCAACCAGAGAGACTGCAAGGAGCACAAGTTACATCGCGGCCATGGCGGCCGCGCGCAGAGGGATGCTAAGCCGCGAGGCTTCGCGTCGCTAGACGCCGAGAGGACGAACAACAACAACAACAGCTGACGCAGTGCAGCACACCTCCGCCTGTGCCGTGACCCCCCCCCCCCCCCCGCCTCGCCGGTCTGAGTCGCGGCGCCATTTCCATTCCATTTCATTCCATTCCAGAATGTTTATTGCGTATCAACAACCTAGTAAAACGATCGAAAAAATGAACATGAATAACAAAGATAAAGTAAAATAATACGGGCGCCAGCCTGTACCGTAATCTATCCGCCTCACCGGTCGGAGTCGTGGCGACGTCACCGGCAGCACCTCCAGGAAAAAGCAGTCGGTGGGGAACTCGCAGTGTTTGAGCGAGTTGAGCACACCGAACACGGCACATAGGAGCCCCTTCTCGCGGGTCCAGAGCTTCCGCAGCACGTCACTGGGGACCAGTCACAGACGTCAGGTCATGGACAATGTCTGATAAGTGACTCGTCACAGCACAGATGTGGCGACATGATATCGACAAAAGACGTGACACTCCGGCCGACGCGTCTAAGACCATGAGGACCGACATAATAAAATCAAAGTTTGGCGTAGAAGCAGATCAATATCAACTGACCGCGCCTCCACAGTAGTCAGGTAGCCGCGCAGGTCGTTGGCGTCCGTCGGTCTGTCGATGCTGTTCTTCCTGTGAAAGCAAAGCTAAAAAATGTCAGTCAGGGAGAGGTGAGAATATCAGCGCCGAGTGAACGTAAAGCGAAAATAATCATTATTCCAAAGTCAAACCCATAAATCATTGCCGATTCTGTTTACATAGTTCAATCACTCCAGACACTCATCGCCCGTTCCTCCGTCCTCTCAAAAACCTCTTGTACTCTAGCTAGAATCAACTGCTTATCTGAGAAACTCCCACATTTCTCACCCGGGGTCCTTTTTCTCGATTCTGACGATTTGTCCCATGAAGTCGTTGAGCGAGGGCTGTCGGCGGCTGCACTGGGTGCACTGTTTGAGCGGCCGCTGGCCCAGGAAGCGACGGATCACCGTGCGCCGCTCGAGCACCACGTTACGCACCTGGCCCGCCAGCTCACCGCTGCGGTGACGCTCTGTGGGCCGCGGCCGCACGGTTACATACGCAGCCGGAGAACGGGGATCGGGCGGGGAGGGGGGGGGGTAACTATAGTCCCGGGTGGGACGTCACGGAACTCAACGAAAGACCATATCAGCGTCCTATGACCAAGCCATGACACAATGAACATCGCTGCCGAATGACAATGTCGTAAGGAAATATCCAGCGTCCGGAACATCTATTGGTATTCTGTATTACACCGGAAAAAAATATACCTGAACCAAACGAGTCGTTTCCATCGCAGACCCTGCGATCACCTCCCATCTGCGCACACCTTTGAGGTCGGCCAGGTAGCCGGCCAGTTTGTCGCTGAGCTGTTTGTCGGAGATGACGGCGTCCGCATCCACCATGTCGGCGTCCAGCTCCACGTCTTTGTCGGCGCGGCGCCGCTTCGGCCCGCCTGCCGACGCCGACGAGGCGGGGATCAGGTCGGCGGCGGCCAGCGCCTCGGCGGCCAGCCCCAGCTCCAGCAGCTCCAGCTGGGTCCGCACCAGCGTCAGCAGCGGAGCTGGAATCGAACAGGCGAGTCAGCTCCAGCAGTGGGTCTGACGTCAGTACAGGTATTGGAATCAGCCAGCCTCTTAGATGAAAATATAACGATTAAAGCAGACCCCCTGAAACAATCACGAAAAGGCAGATAAAACCCTTACAACAAAGGCACCTGCCATCTGATTTACAATTGAACATTGCGAGAAGTAAAGACAAACCACAACCAAGCCCTCCCGGCCCGGGAGTACACTGTGAGCGCCTCTGACCTGGGACGAGGAGCGCCGAGCAGTTGAGGCACGTTCTGGAGAGCAGGCTGATGGCCACCGAGCGGAACATGGGGTTGATGACGGGGAACGTCAGCTCGATGTGGCCCAGGTGGCCCGGGCAGTGCAGGTAGTTCAGGTGGCACGTGGCGCACACGCCGTAGTCCCGCATGTACGGACCTGGAACGCACCGGGGAGAATCACCTCAATGACAGCACACCTGTCCACGAAGAAATTTATGGAATTGCACATCATACAAACGAAACCACAAAAACAGACACACACATTTATTAGTCGCATATGCACGACATGGTCCTGCGGCGTCGATTCCCACAACGCCATGACATCAGCCAGCTGTAATCAAGGAACATAGTGGCATCAAAAGACTATGCTGCGTAAGTTCTTGATATTTTCCGAGTGTCATCGCTACGATTGCCGTCAACGGCTTCATATTTAGCGCAAAACTTCCTGATTTGATGTAAGCAAGCGTCATCGTACACAAATTCTCAAACTTTACATCACAGTAATCCGCAGAACACCAGTGACCTATTCACCCTTCCAGTTATAGGGGGTTGAACAAACCCTGCCCCTCAGTTTTTCGCGAAAAACTCACGAAAAACTCACGTAAAAAGCGGCCGATCACGACGAAGCTTTCAGTACCCTCGAGTCGATAAGTTTGACAAATACCCTAATAATTTGATGACCTTGACCCAAATGACCTTTGACCTGTGACCTGTTTCTGGAGACCGCATTTGGCCGGAACACGATTGGGCGTGTGTCGGGGCTCACATTATCCACGCGTTTCCAGTCTTTTTCTAGCTGTAAACGTTCATAATGTGAAATGATGTCGATCCCATGCATTATGGTAGGAGTCAAGGCCACGTGAAGGTCAGGACAAAGTCATTGGCCTGTGATGACCTTGGTTCACTTTTACTAGTTTGACATGTTTCCACTTTCCAGGCTAGGTTTTGGGGCTGATTTCGAATTTAGCGTTTGCGAAGTAGTTTTGGTGCCTTTGTAAGATATCACGAAGCTGTCAGAGGTAATTGACACCTACTATGGATAGCCGGCAGCACACCTACTGGTTGACCTGACCTGACCAGACCAGGCCTGAATGCATGAAGAAATCATCTGTGAACAAAACTAACATGAAATTTGTGATGCGTACCCGGAGAACCCCTTAACAGCCTCACATCACGAAGGTCTAACCCGTCCCGATTTTCCAACTTTTAGATCATTGACCTGACCTGGAAGGTCAACCAATGACCTAGGACCTTCAACTTGCGTACCATCGGCTTCCTTCACAGGTAAAACACTTGTTTTTCCGGGAAGCTCTAGCCCGATCGGGGGCCGAACGGCAAGGGGGTTCTAAAGGACCCCCTCCCTAGTATACACCTTAGCGGCTGGCAAGACACCAATACCGGCGAGGGTTAAAGCACATCAATGGCCAAATTCCGAGGCATCCTGTCTCACTCACCCATCCGCAGGTCGTAGAGGCCGCCAGGCAGCGGCTGGCAGAGGTCATTGAGGCCGACAGTTGAGGTGATCTCGACTTTGCTCAGCTTGCGCACCTCGTCCGCCGAGAAAATAGAGAAACTAATGGACGAGGGCAGGAAGTGCAGCTGGTCGCCTATCGTCCCCATCTTTGCTGTGTGTCACTGGTCACCCCAATCAAGGCCTGGAACATACCAAACCCAAATGTTATCTCAGAAAATATTATGAGCCTATTTGACAAAGAAGCCAGAAGATATCACAAATATGTTATCAACCACATAGGTATACTCGTATTTTTCACTGAATTCAACCAAGAGCAAATGTGATAGCCTTAAGTTCTGAAAAAGGCAGGCATTTCCATGTTGTGAATGCATGACAAATTAAAGATACAAAGTTCAGATAAAGGCTCTAGGGACTTTATCCATAGGTAACATGGCATATGCCACTCGTGCGACGTCTGCCAATTAGGTACCAAATATCAATACCTAGGTACCACTCGTATTAATGTTAAGGTTATGGATTCTGGTTGGTGTTGTTATCTGACAGTTCACTTGGGGAAACTACGAGGAGCCAAACAAAAATTGGATTAGCCAATCAATGGCTGGAGTGGGCGGGGCGATGACCATATATGGTCATAAAATAAGACTTCATCTTTTCAATGCATCCTAGCATTCAAATGAAAAAATAAGGCATAAGAATGTCTTTTAACCACACAAGGCCTACACTCACTCTGTGCACAATTAACTGGTGGCTCTAAATCGCAGAGTTACAACACAAGGTCAAACAGTGATTGGCAAATATGGCGGATTGAAACAGACCTGAAAGCACCAAAAATGTAAGCAGTACCGTTGCTTAAAATGTAATTATTTTTATTATTTTGTTTATGGTTTTTCTAATTTTGGTTAAGTTGTCATTTTAAAATTAAATATCTTTGTTTAATGTAATTAAATTACCGTAAAACGGGGTGTTAAGGGACAGTTTTGAAGTGTTTTGTTATATAACTCAAGAAGGGTTGGAGATAGAAGCATCAAATTGTCAGCGTTTTATGTGGAATTTGGTGCTTTACATGCCTGCCACATTAAAGTTTTAAAGATTTATACCTGCATATTATTTTTTATCATTTTTCATCACTGTCCCTTAGCACCCCAATGTGGGGTGTTAAGGGACACCTATATTATTCCAAGAAATGGTCATGAAATGCCCATAATTGGGGTGTGGAAGGGCACACAATTTATTTATTGAAATGTTTTGCATATTCTGTCACAAAACAAGTCAGGTTCATTCACCACTAATGACCTTTTTAGCCAATTACGTGTAATGCAGTTTACGCTTGTGGAAAATGTGCTAATTATAAGGTAAACAGAACCAAAAAGTAATCTTCTGTCATCAATAAAAACCCATGTTGAAGCTAGTCACTTGTCATTATGTTGCCCTCTTTGTTTTAGCCTTTTTATGATGACATCACATTTACCTACATCAGTCTCCATTGACCCATCATTGTAAAAGAGAGTGTTGAGATGTTTTGTTACATAACTCAAGATGTGTTAGAGATAAAAGCATGAACTTGCCAGAATTTTATGTGGAATTTGGTGTTTTCCATGCATACTTAATTAAATTATATTTAGATATTATTTTTGATTTTTCTTCCCTGTCCCTTAGCACCCCACATCCACCTCAAAATATGCATGTATCCGGAAAAGAGGAAGAGGATGATGAATAAATGGGTGGATTTGCACAAGTTTTTCAGGAAACATGTGCAATACATGTGACAATACACCTATGCATTCATTTTCCCTGTACACCCACAAGTTTATGTGGTACATACAGAGTTTTGGAGATGTTTCAATTTTGTGAAAATGTAGCATGATTTTCAAATCCATTTTTGAACCAAATCACTTGCATGAAAAACCATGCCATTTTCTCCTATGGTCAAGAGCAAAACAGTGTCAACTACCACACTGAAGTTTTTATTGAACCTTCTCAAATTAGGAAGTTAATATGACTCAAAGTTTTTCCCATGCAACTGTCCCTTAACACCCCACTGTCCCTTAACACCCCATTTTACGGTAAATCTTTTAGCAATTTTCTTTCAAAACACCAATCCATTTATTGAATGGCCAGCTGATTGTGACGCCCAGAACCTGCCGAAAAGCTGTTTTCCTAACACCATTTTTGAGTCAATTCGCCCAGTTTAATAAAATCACGCTAATTCCTAATGGAAAATGGAAGCCTTCTCTCTGATAAGTGGACGCGATACCGCAAGTACCCGCTTGTTATACCGTTTTCCACCCTTAGTAGCGGGGGTTGTATTTATGCCCATATATGGTCATCAAAAGTCCATTTATTGACCAATCAATTTTTTATCTTCGCATCGTAGTTTCCCCAACTGAGTTGAACACTGCATCTCGACCAGATTTCAAAGCGGAGCAGCAGTCAATGGATTTTCAGCGACTCTGACTCGTACACTTATTACGGCTCCCAAAAATTGACTTTAACTCTGACTCAATACTGAGACAGGAACTGACGAGTGTCGACTCCTAGCTCTGCCTCCGACTACGACGAGTATTGAGTTATTTAGGCATAACTTTCAACAGAAACTACGTGACAATACTCCCCTTAATGTTGCTTTGCCATCAAATAGCCCAAGAACACACCAAACGCCCAAAATCCGAGAAAACACGAAATAGGGACACGCCAAGACACACGAAACACGTGTGTCTCTTACCTGTGAATGTTAATTAGAATTATGTTCAGGAGATGGTGACTCCTCGTGCTAAATGAGCGAAAAGAGAAAGATGACGAATCACATTGCGAGTTATCACTGCTAGCAACTCGCGAGTCTAAGTAAGAACATAAGAATGTTTGTCAAAGCTGCGCAAGTTTCGACGACCTCTACGTAAATTTTCTCAATAATTCTTATAGGGACGTCTCAGAATTCTAGAGACATTTTCTTTCCGTAAACAGAAGGCACCGAAAAATAGCACCGGAGCATGATGAACTTACGGGTATTTCTTTTGAATTGCCTTAGATTGCACGCTTTTTAATGTTTTAAATGGATCAAGATTTATGTCACATAGCAAATGCTATCTTTTTAAATTTTGCGCTACGTGAGAAGTTTTCATACAAGATTTTTTACCAAAAGTCTCTATATTGCCAGCCTACAGAGGGCGTTTGTTTACAAATGCTTACACCAAGCTTACACGTAGCCGGTTTTGTGTGTTTCTGGGGCTCCGATTTTTGAATAATCAAGCATTTTGGATGCCGCTGCGATGTAAAGACCTTCCTGCGATGCATACACTTAGGTCTTAGTGTGATGAGGGTCTTTGAATTCTGTCTCTGGCTATAATTTACTATTGGAGCCTAATCTGCAAAACAAGTGGCATTTCAGACCAAAATGTTTAAGATTGAATCATACATCACACCACTCCTGTTAAATGTTGTAGAAAAATATGTGAAAAACCTTAAAGCAGAAGACACACAGGTAAGATTTGTGCTGCTAACAATTGAAATTATTGAGTGCCAGTGCAGTTTGTGAGATCGATGTTGATGCAAGCCCACTTACAAGTCCATCAAATTCACACTGAATTTATGAATTCATGCTGATAAACTGAACCCAAGAAGTGGAAATGACCCAAGTAGTGCATATCAGATTCATGTGAATAGAATTTAAGCCTGAAATGGCCTTTGTGAAGGGCACATTTGGATCGTGAGGTTCTGATTGCAGTCGGTGACACACCAGGGAAATAAGCTAAAATTAGAGCGCTCTATTTATTGCTCCCGCTACTTCACCGTCTCCCATAGGGTCCTGTGTTGAGCTGGTGTCGAGGCTCTAAAAATGACGCCGATTTTTGCACCCTTCTCACGAAAACCCCTCGGACCGCCTGGAAACTAATTGTTCCGCTCTAAAAATTTCATGATCGACGGGAAAATGAACGAGGAAAAGATTGGTCCTGAAATAATTCTGAACTCCCTGTAGGACATATCGAAATATGGCTGCAAACTAGGAGCATGTCAAAATCGACAAAACAATACAAATAAACTTACCGGGATTTTTTTATTTTCCATGCATCTTGGTACGAAATCAGTCGGTTTTTCGGAAAGATCATCTTCTGTTTAATAAATAATTCCACAATTGCAACAGAGAAAAAAAAATATTTCTCCTGTGACAGCAGTTTTGGCATTGTGCCAGTTGTGTGGCGTGCGCGGTGCTGCGTGGTTGTTGGGACAGAGCTGTGAGTATTTTTGGTGTTTTAAATGGTTGATGGCCATTTGAACCAGCTTTATATTATTTCCTACAAATTTTTGCATCAAATTATTGCTTTGAAAGACCATTGAAACCCCTTATCTCTTCATGAAACACGATCATATTCATCGTCGACGAAAATGGCGCAGGACTCCATGTGCGCTTTGATCGAAATAAATCGTAAATTAAATAAGATTCGATGATAAGTATCATATTCTAGTGACACATTTTCATAAAATAAGGCATAAACTTTGCAAGGAAGTCAACATTGGATAATTGGATTATTACTTTGCTCACATATCCTTGTAGTAGTCAAATGGCTCAATTGTTAGATAAATGTAAGTATATGTTTTGGCTTGATGTTTGCTGTGAAACCACCCAGCCACTTGCTGGTTGAGTGGTTTTCTGATAATTACCTGATAATCATTTCTCCTTTTCCTTAAAAGAAACTAAAATTTTTCAAAGTAACCCATTTTTAGGAAAGGCGGCTTGCTCATTGACATTTCATGTTCTTGTTTTGTTATTGCTGGCAGTATTTTGATACAATAATGCAATATGAATTTTTTGCAATAATAAAACCTAAGACAAACTTAGTTAATGCGTCAATCAAACACCCAACAGAAAGATTGTGAGTCCTTGTGACGTGAAGTAGAATATTCTATGAATGTGTTTTATAGAATATGCCAAATTTTAAATTAATTTATTATTTGATACTGATAGCTGAGCATGTGAATTATGCCACAATATAATTCCATTTTCTGGTTTTGAAATAGCCGGCAGTATTTTACTTCAACAAATGTAATATACATGGAATACATGTTGTTATGTTATGTTAAAAGTTAACATAACATAGTTAATAACAGCCAACAGAAGGGGCTGTTTCAGCAGATAATGTTTGTACCTTATGCATTACCCTTCTTTTCTGCAGGACCATGCTTCCGCTGGGTGGTCGACATTTGCCTCCTGAAGAAGTTGAGCAACATGAAGACCACCAGATGAGGTGTCTGCAGTTCATGTGGAACTCTGCAGACTACAAGTGTTATGCCAACCACAACCAAAGTGCTGTGATCATGGAGGCATGAACCTCATGACAACACTTCAGATTTGCAGTTGTACCAAAGTGTGGCTCAAACCACCTGTGGCGTCTCACTCAATGCGTGAACAGTGTGATCATTGTGCAGTGCTCAGCTGCAACTAAGACATCTATTAGTGACTTGTTTTGCAATTAGCCACCAAAAGCATTTTTTGGGCTGGCTGCTGTAATTTGTTGTGCACTGCGCAATAGTGGTAGTGTTTTGTCACTTGTCAAGTTGTCAGTTGTGCATGTTGCATGTTTCTCTTCCCTCGGCCCTCATTATCAGTTAAGTGGTGAATTGGCATCACTCAGTCTCCCCAGATCTCCATTGACTGTCTGTCAACCACCTAACTTGAGATGGTATTTGCTAATAGTGTCAGAAAAGAAGTGATTGTAGACATTTTTAGGAATATGAGCTCCGTTTCATGCGTGTTCCAGTGGTCATTTTGTCACATGTCCCATGGTGTAATAAATGGAAACTGTTGTTCCCTTTTGAAGGTACTCGCGGATACAGAAAGCGTTGGGCCTAATTATTAAACGCACCCTCCTATCAGCGACGCACGAAATGGACAAATATCATCCTTTTTAGAAGAGGAGGAAACGAAAACTTGTGAACATAGCTGTACCTACAACAGTGCATAAGGAATTGAAATTCTGGGAGTTTTTGAAATTCGGAGAAACTCAAGTTGTCGACAGGTATGCCCCCTTGTGCGTCAAAGACCGCCTAAAAAACAAACGTCTTCAAATGAAGGCAGTATTCGTATGTTCGTTGTAATTGCAGCAGCCTAGCAACATGCATTGCGGTCCGATGGCGAATTACACTCGTGCTCAAAAACTATGCCGGTAACTGCCAATGCACTTAGGTCATAGGTGAGGAGAGGAAGGGTTATGTCAAATGTCAACATCATAGAAATGGCTTCATCTATTGAGCTGTGCCTATTGTACATAATTCAACCAATCTATGCATTTCGTTTCTTGCAATCTACTCATGCTTTCACTCCAGCTTCAGAGAAATCATCCCATATTGTATGTCTTAAGATATTGATTTCTATGGCGGTTTGCAATTGCTAGCCACGTCTTATTTCAGTTTGGTGGCCCCGCATCGGTCCACTCGGCCGCTCTAAAATTGACTTCCGGTGGAGGATTGTGGCTTTTATTTTAGCTTCTCCGCTGACTGCGGGGAGCGCCGTCGCCGAGGTAGGAGCAATAATAAGCTTATGTTTGGGACTTATTTCCACGCTTAATAAACATTTTAATGTTATTTTAATTAATTCATGTTAATCTTTGACGCATTCTCTTTCTATTGATACCATCCACCGGTCTGAGAAGTACTGCCTTGCTGCGTAAGGGCCGATAAAAGATCACGCTTTTAGGGGTATCTCTTCAACATGGGGTAGGAGCAATAAATAGAGCGCTCTAATTTTAGCTTATTTCCCTGGTATGTCACCAACTGATTGTACTGTTAGTCATGCTTTGATTTGATCTTCACCCTTTCTTCCTTTTCAGGTGTCTCTTTGGGGTGGAGATGCAGTTTTCAGCAACCTGGACCTCAAGACTGATGTGCTGGAGCGGGAGCTCAATCTTCCACTGCGCTTCATCAATGGCCACATCCACGAGATGCGCATCCATGTGCCCTGGCACAAGCTCACCTCTGAGCCCATTGTGGTTACTATTGACACAATGGGTGAGTGGGAATAACAGGCTGGCAATGCTTGGTTCTTTTATGGCTGGGCAAGGAATTGAATCTCAGTGACTTACCAATCATGCCACCAAGCCAACTGGCTTCAACTGTCGACCTGGCCAATGCGTATTCAATCTAATTGCCTATTTCAGTCCCATGATTTGAGTTTTGATACTTACTGAGCTATCTCAATTTCAAGTTGACCTGACCACTAAATCAGATTAATCTTGATGTTATTCAGAGTTAGGATTAGCTGGGCAATTTGATAATATTTAAAAGTAACCTGTGCAGTGCCTAGTGTTGTCCTGGCTGATTAACACAACTGAGTGTTTTCCTTGTGCATTCATTTTGTCCTTTGTTTCCAGAATGTGTCATGCGTCTGCCAAGTGATACAGAGAGGCTGGATTTCTCAGACACCAGTAGTGAGTCATCCTTCTCAAAGCAGCAGTCCAATAGGCAAAAGTAAGCAGAGTCCCTCACCATGATAATTCTGCATGTGGTCGCTGGATTGCAATGCTAAACATTGCTGCTAGATGCCCATCATTGTGAGTAAACCATGTTACCTGCAGTGCATTTTAATATCCCCACCTGTTGAATCCATCATTTTCTCCTCTCCAGGAAGCAGCTGGAAACAGAAGAAGTTCCTCCTGGCTACATCCAGACACTGGTCAAAAAGATCACCAACAACCTCAGTGTGGTGTGCAACAACCTGATCCTCAAGTATGTGGAGGACGACATTGTGCTGAGCATCAACGTTCGCACTGTCAGCTCTCAGTCTGCCGACCACTCGTGGACCCCGGCCTTTACCGGTGAGAGGGGACGGGAGGTGCCGCGGAGTGGGGTACAATACCAGGGACCACACGTGAACCCCGGCCTTTTCTGGTGAGAGGGCAGGGGCCGTGGACGGGTGAAATGCTCAGACCACACGTGGACCCCGGCCTTCACCGGTGAGAGGGGACGGGAGGGGCCGTGAAGTGGAGCCGTGAATTACAATACCGGGACCGCACGTGGAACTCGGTCTTGGCCGGGGTCCACGGTAATTATTAGACGGGTAGAACAGCATGTCTCGGATATCAAAGAACGGTACTTTTTCGTGAATCTAGGCATTCAACCCTGACAGGCGTGGGGGTGGTGACGTAGAAAATGAACAGGCCAGGAGTGAGGCTTATCCTTACCGTCTAAAGCAATTAATAGAGGGAGGGAAGAATTCAAATGCAAACGCATTTATTTTATGTGCCTAATTGAGGCGTTTTTCGAACGGTGCTGTCAAAATTGCGTTGTTCGGCCGGTACCGTAAAAATATAGGAGCGTTCGATATCGGCGAATCAATCTCTGATCTTATCCAATGTCTATTGTCGATGGCACCATTACGAGCTGTATCTGTTTCAGACTTTGTCCCCCCGCTGTTGTTCCTACGTAAGCTGGTGAAGCTGGCCGACTTCACCGTCTGTCTGGACCGAAGGAACGCCTCGGGAAAGATCGAGAGCTACCAGGTCGGTCGAACAGTGTACACCTAAGATAGTCGCAACTTACCGCTAGCTGATTTGCTGACAACGGCAGCTTGGACACTGTTCTATTAGGTACTTTCACCAAACCTTTATTATTTGTTCGTTGACTTTACGCGTCTTTGCCAGACTATTTTAGTGTTACACTCCAGCTGCAGCCGTGTACCGCGCTGCCGGTGGAGTCTGACGGCAGTGTGTCGGTGCCGCAGGAGCCGCTGCTGTACCGGTGCTCGCTGGAGGTGCGCTGTCTGCAGCAGTTCAGCGGCCTCCACTCCCCGGTGGCTGACGTCACCCGCTGGGACGTGCTCTGCCCGCAGCTAGAGTTCTCCGTCACAGGTGAGCCCGACCGGCAGGTTGTCACGGATAACAACGGACTCATTCTAATACACGGTGATGTATGCGTTATATGTGACACTTAACTCACGGTAGCTTACGTTGACTATCCCTCGGTCGGCCGCAGACGTGCAGGTGCCGATGCTGCTGCGTCTGCTGGAGCTGACGCGGGTGCTGTGTATCTGACTGTCCCCGGTCCGCCGCAGACGTGCAGGTACCGATGCTGCTGCGTCTGATGGAGCTGGCGTGGGTCTCTGTCTCTGACTGTCCCCGGTCCGCAGACGTGCAGGTGCCGATGCTGCTGCGTCTGATGGAGCTGGCGTGGGTCTCTGTCTCTGACTGTCCCCGGTCCGCAGACGTGCAGGTGCCGATGCTGCTGCGTCTGATGGAGCTAACGCGGGTGCTGTGTATCTGACTGTCCCCGGTCCGCAGACGTGCAGGTGCCGATGCTGCTGCGTCTGATGGAGCTGGCGTGGGTCTCTGTCTCTGACTGTCCCCGGTCCGCAGGCGTGCAGGTGCCGATGCTGCTGCGTCTGATGGAGCTGACGCGGGTCTCTGTGTATCTGACTGTCCCCGGTCCGCCGCAGACGTGCAGGTGCCGATGCTGCTGCGTCTGATGGAGCTGACGCGGGCGCTGCTGTTCGGAGAACTGGTGCCGGACAGCGCCAGACGACCCTCGGCCGACGACGCCTCGGACGGCGGTAAGACGCGACTTACGATAGTCGAGGGCTGCTGGGCATTAGGTACTCAGTATGTTGAGACATTTACATTTTTAAATTGGAAGTTTAAATTACGGCAAATTTACTGCGTCGAAAATCCGCTGACGTCTTGATGTGTGTATCCTTGTAACCTGTCAATGTATTTCCGATTTTGGATGATTGGACGTGTCGGATCGTTTGAAATCTGACTCCCGTGACGCCCGCCCTGGCTCTCTGGCAGGCGGCGGTGAGGAGGAGGGCGGCGGCGGCGGCCCGGCGGCCGGCTCGTGGGCCGACTGGGTGTGGTCGGCGGTACCCTCTCCGATGGCCATGCTGCCCATCACGTGGGACGACCCGGAGGAGGAGGGCGACGCTGGAGCGCGGCTGGCCGCCCACGAGCGCGTCGTGCACTTCTCCGTGTACGTGCAGCAGGTGGACTCGGTGTTCAAGGTGAGACGGAACTGCAGGGAGATGTATTTCGTCAGGCTTTTTTAATAATTAGGTACATATCTTCAGTTCAAACCCAACCAATCAAAGCACTGTCTTGATCTCTCGACTTCTTTTAATTTTCTATTCCATGGCTGTCAAAACCTCTGACTCGGATTAGTCACCCGACACCCTAAGAGCAGTTCCTATCCTGCATCTGACCCCCCCCCCCCCCTCTCTGCAGGTGTCTGAGCCGTGCCGGCCATGTCCCTGCTTCTAACTTCACCTCCCCATCTCTCCCCAGATGTCTGAGCCGTGCCGACCGTGTCCGGCCGGCCGGCGCGCCCGGTTCACGCCCTACCTGCGGCTGAGTGCGGCCGGCGCCATGCTCAGCTCTGTGGTGCGCGGTGTACAGGCAGTCAGCAGCAGCTGGGGCATCAGCCACCTGGCGCTGCGGCCGTGCGGCGGCTGCACCTGCCGACACCACCCCGGAACAGACCTGCCGCTCGAGGTCAGTGGTGGGGCGAGTGAGCCGATAAAGACAGTAATGTTGGGCGAGTGGGCCGGTAGAGAGTAGTGGTGGGGTGAGAGGGATGGTACTTGAGGGCAGTTAATGGCTCGTGGACAGGTAGAAGGCGCTCACAATTCATATCACCCGGCTATAGTTAAGTCAGGCTGGTCAGATTTGATTACCCTCGACTTATAACTAGGCCAGTGACACAGTTTCCCCATTCAGTAAGCGCTGTATCACGGCCTTAGAGGTATTGTTTGACCATGACTTCCTTCTCCCCGTGAATCTACCAGGTGAGTTACCTGGAGCTGGGCCGTCCCAGTGAGGCGTACATGGCCGGCTCCCTGTTCGTCGACCCTCCCGCCCGGCCGGTGGACACCCGACAGCAGTACAACATTCAGTGGGACAGCCACATGAGGGAGAAAACCGGTACGTGCGCGAGGCGAGCGTGCTCGCTCGTAGTCTTTCATATATGTCGCTCTAATCGGTCTTTCTAGGAGCTGTGGTACTGGTACCACTTTTTCATTTCGTGGGCAATGGTAGTCTGTGTTTCCGGAGACGGCTACTGTCGTTATGCTAGTTTGCTAATGATGCTGCTCTGTGCCATGACTCCGTACCTTCGCCACTCAGTGTTGTATGTTCCGCACTGTCCGTTTCGCAGAGAGCTGGCTGCTGGAGCGGACGGCCGCGATGGCTGCCGACTACCTCTACCAGCTGGAGCTGCCGGAGGAGTTTGGCGAGGAGGATATGCCGCTACTGGCCGACCTGGAGTACAGGTCAGTCAGAACGGACGGGAGGCCGCTGCTGATCAGTCAGCGACCGAGGCGAGCGGTCGGCTCTGTGCTGGGCGTGGGATGCAGCGCTCTGGCTCGTTCTACTGAGTGCTATCGTATGAGAGCGTAGTGACTTCTATCAGAACGGCTAGTCTGGTGAGTGGTGAATGTAAGGTGCAGAGATGTGCCTCAATGATGGCTCGAGTGCTGCACTGCCTTCCAACTTATGGTCGGCTGGTTATGTGACTGTGCCTCTGTGTGTCTTTGGTCGTGTGTCTGGCCTGCAGCTACGCCAGTGTGCTGTGACTGAAGCTCTGTCTTTTTCTGCCCAGCGACCTGCCGGAGCGCTCTATGTTCCGGTTGGTGGTCGGTCCGTCCCAGGTGCTGGTCACCTCTGGCTCCGTACACCGGCTCAATCACCTGCTGACGGCGGCGCACAGCGTGGCCTACCCGCCCTACAGTCGACCCCAGCAGGGTGAGTAATATCCGCCCTACAGCGTGACCTACCCGCCCTACAGTCGGCCCAGCAGGGTGAGTAATACCCGACCTACAGTCGACCTCAACAGGGTGAGTAATATCCGCCCTACAGCGTGACCTACCCGACCTACAGTCGGCTCCAGCAGGGTGAGTAATACCCGCCCTACAGTCGGCCACAGCAGGGTGAGTAATACCCGCCCTACAGCCGGCCCCAGTATGGTGAGTAATTCCCGCCCTACAGTCGGCTCCAGCAGGGTGAGTAATACCCGCCCTACAGTCGGCTCCAGCAGGGTGAGTAATACCCGCCCTACAGCCGGCCCCAGTAGGGTGAGTAATACCCGCCCTACAGCCGACCGGCCAGCAGGGTGAGTAGCTATACCCGCCCTACAGCCGGCCCCAGCAGGGTGAGTAACTGTACCCGCCCTACAGTCGACCTCAGCAGGGTGAGTAATATCTGCCCTACAGTCGGTCACAGCAGGGTAACTATACCCGCCCTACAGCCGGCCCCAGCTGGGTGAGTACACAGGCGCACAGCGTGACCTACCCGCCCTACAGTCGACCTCAGCAGGGTGAGTAACCATACCCGTCCTACAGCCGACTCCAGCAGGGTGAGTAGTACTCGTTCTACAACCGACTCCAGGCTGCAGGGTGAGTACTGAGTACACTGGGCTCACAGCGTGACCTACCCGCCCTACAGTCGACCCCAGCAGAAGGAGTACCTGAGTAGTGTGTACTGCGTAGTGCAGGCCTAGCCTGTAGCAGCTTTATATGATGCACTGTATTGCAGAAGTCGTCCTCATCGCTGGACAGGTTGTGATCTGTAGAAAAGTTCCTTTTTCCGACAATACGCCCAAATTATAGCAGCGATTTTCACCACTGAAAAGTAGCTCACGTGCCAGGGAAAAGCGTATCCATTTGAAATAATCAAACCTTTTCATTTGCCCACCCAGACCGCCCCCTCCCCTCTCCCGCAGTGAACGGGAGCCCACCCTGACCGCCCCCTCCCCTGTCAGCAGCGGACGGGGAGGCCCACCCCGACGCCCCCTCCCCTCTCCGGCAGCGGACGGGGAGGTCCGCCCTGGTCCGGTGCCGCCCCTGTTCTGTAGCAGACGAAGAAGTCCACTCTTACCACCCCTCCGCCCTCCCGCAGCGGACGGAGAGTCCCGCCCGGGCCCGATACCGCCCGGAGAGGCGGCGGCGCTGGAGGCCAACACCCCGGCTCGCGGCCTGCAGCTGACGGTGCTGGAGCCGCGGGTCACCGTGGTGGCCGGCCACGGGGACCTGGAAAAGGTGGGTCTCGACACAGCGGAGGGAGGGGCAGCGGCTGACAGTGAGTGCCGGTCATGGGGAGCTGGGCGAGGTGGGTCCGTGGCACGGTAGGGGTAATCGTGAGGATGGCAGCGGCTGCATCGTTTGAGGTACAGCTGCTGCATGCTGCAGTTGGGCGTTGTGATGTGATGACAGAGTTGTTGGCGAGGAGATGGGCTCGTGAGATCATGTGTGCTTGTTCAGCTCCAATGATCCGGCTGATCGCTATTGATAATGATGTTGCCTTCCCCAGGCCGGGGACGTGCGTCTACCGCTGTTGTGTTTCTCTGTCCCGGCTGTCTCACCGGTTCCCCCGTCCCCAGGCCGGTGAGGTGCGTCTCCCAGCATTGCTGGTGTATTGTTTATCTGTCCCGGTTCCCCCGTCCTCAGGCCGGTGAGGTGCGCCTCCATCTGCGCTGTCAGACAATCCAGTGGAACGAGCAGCAGCCCATGTACCCGTCCCGGCTGTGCCGGTGTGTCTCCCAGCTCCGGCGGCCGACCGCCGCGCTACTCTACAACTGCCACGTACACACACGATGCACGGTCAGTCTCGATACAAGGAATTCGAACTTCGAAGCATAACGGGTGTTTTGTTTGGTTGACTAGAGTCTCTTTGCCTTTGTATTTTCTGTTGAGTATACCTGCCAGTTATGAAGTACTGTGATAGGCCCGACATGATGACTATTCATTAGAAGGGGCGGGAACATTGCCCCACTGGTGATTGGAAATAAATCATTACGTCCGCCGCTCCTGACGGTTTTCCCTGTTTCCTGTGCGCTCTGTCGCAGGTGACGGCAGGCCAGGCGGTGCTGGTCTCGGCCGCAGCGGACGGGCAGCCCGCCCAGGAGCAGCAGGTCGCCTCCCTCTCCTCCGCCTCTGTGTACTGGAAGGCGCTGCTGGCGCCGGCACTGTGGGCCGGCTCCCAGCATCCGCTCACCGAACAGGTGTGCCACGCCGACTGGCTGCACTGTGAGCTCAGCGTGCGCCAGGGCGCTCGGCTGCTGCGGCTGTACCGGAGCCTGCTGGCGCCCGGCCGGGGGACTCCCGGCGCCGAGCCGGGCGGCCCGCAGCTGGATCTGCCGCTGGAGACGGACCTGTGCGGTCTGGACGTGCGGCTCTGTCAGACCGGCTGGTGCTGGGCCGGCGCCGCCAGCCTCGGCTCGGTCCGCTGCCAGCTGGACGGCCGGCCCGTGCTGGCCGCGCCCCAGGCGGCCGACGCGCCGGCGGCCGGCGGCGGCGGTGAGCGGGCGGTGCGGGCGCTACTGCAGCTGCCCACAGCCGCTGCCGCCGCGGACAGCTGCCCGCTGCTGGTGGTTGTCTCCGAGCCGGCCCTGCTCTGCTGGCAGCCGGCACTGCTGCTCTGGCTGTCCCTGGCCACACAGCTGCTGGCTGGTCCGCCGTCGCCGCCGCCGCTGCCCCAGCCTCCCGAGCCGCCGCCGCCGCCGCCGCCAGCGGAGGACCGGGCGTCCAGTCGCTCCGGCCGCCGCTCGCCGGCCGTCGATGTACCCCGGCCGCACGGACACTCAAGAGCCTCGCGATCGGCACGGAGCCACACCACAGAGCGGAACCTACCCGCAGTGTCACCCAATACCCCCGCGGCGGCGGCCGTCTCGCCCGCTCCGCCGGCGCCGCCGGCCGCGCCGCCGCTGGCCTGGCTGCCGGCGCTGGAGCGGCTGGAGGTGCGCCTGCAGATCAGCGCGGTCACCGTCACCGTGCCGGCCGGCCCGGAGAGCGGCGGCGGGGCGGGTGGGGACGCGGAGCGGGCGGCGGACCCGCCCCCGACCCCAGCAGGCCACCACCCGGCGCCGGTGCCGGGCCGGGTCCGCAGCAGCAGCGACTCGGGCCACCGGTACTGCCTGCACGGCCAGCTGGTCTCTGTGCTGCCCTCGGTCCGACTGGACAGCGCCGTGCTCAAATCGGCCGCCCTGCCGACAGTGCCCGATGTGCCCGTCCGGCTCACCAGACCGTCAGCGGCCGCAGGTCAGTCGGCTGCCGCACGGCCTCATATCGGCCGCTGGGGAGGGTTTTCTCATAAACTATCATTGCTAGTAATTTGGACATGGGCCTAGACTGAGATACATGCCACTTTGCGCGTGCTGTGTCATAAAAACTCCATCCAGCTGCCATTCTCTGGCAGTGCGTGCATCCCCTTTCTCTGGTGTGTCCACTCTCTGACCACCGGCCCCTGACGCCTTCTCCTCTCAGGTCGTCCGGCGGCGCCGTGGCAGGCCCGTCTCTCGGGCGCCGAGGTGTACGTCCAACTGGAGAGCGGTCAGCGGCGCGCCCTGATGGCACCTGCAGAGCTCGAGTGTACCGTGGGGCTCAGCGCGGCGGCCGACGGCGCCGGTCCGCTCAGCCTGGTCGTGCACGCCAACATGCCCGAGCTGCAGATTACACTTGGACAGCGGCAGGTGAGCTGCAGATCACACTGGGACAGCGACATGTAAGTAGTTGTGATCTGGGTACCATTGAGCAATGAAACAGAAGCAGTCGAGTAATGAATGGGAGACAGCCTGCTAAGTGGCAATCTGGGACTGGTCTCCGTCCCATCATTTCTCGTTTGACATTGTATGTTGTCTACAGATCCAGGGTCTGGCCGTGGTGGTGGAGCAGTGTTTCGCCGTGCTGGACCGTGTGGCGCCCCTGATGTCGGCTGTCGGGACAGACGTCAGCGCAGAGGACTCCAAACTGGACAGTACGTCATGTTAGCTGATATATTTGGAGTCGCGCTCTCCATTGACCAACAGCCAGTTGCTGGCCAATTCATGGTTGCAAGTGGAAGAGAGATAAACGTCCTAAATGTCGCGCACACTTTCTGTTTCCAATTCGTCGCATTAATCCTGTTTTGCATCGCCTGAGGGGTGTGTTTTCAGGGCCGTTTCTGTTTTTATTTCTTCCTCATCTGGCTAATGTGCTAACGCTGTTGTGTTTGTTGGCAGACGCCGCCCGGGCCAGTCAGAGTGAGGAGGTCTCTGCTCAGCTGCTGCGGTCCCACGAGCTCCGCTCCGACAGCTCCGGTAATCTTACCGGCTGCTTACTCTCATCTGAATATTACCTCGATTGTATTAGTCGATCATTCATTCATGGGGACCCAACCATGCTTTTCTGTAACGGATCAAATTCATCGCGGATCTATGAAGGCTACAGCTGTTTGGCTCTTTACTATGTGTTCCTGCGGTCGCCACTCTGTGATGGGAGCTACCATCTACGTGTTTGTGTTTTGAGTACTTAACTCTCGTGCTCACTCAGCTGTCGGTGTCACCGTCTCGGCCACGAACCAGCCAGGCCGCCCGTCCGTCTCTGCCTGACTATGCTCTCCTCCTGTTCCCCCAGCGGTGGGTGCCGCCGTCTCGGCGTCTCCGTCTGACTGTGTTACCGAGTGCTCTCCTGTTCCCCCAGCGGTGGGCGCCGCCGTCCCTGCCGCGGACCGCTCGTCCCGTCCGTCCGTCTCCGCCTGTACCCATGTGTTCTGTGTTTCGTTCCCCCAGCGGTGGGCGCCGCCGTTTCGGCCGCGGACCGCTCGTCCCGTCCGTCCGTCTCCGTCTGGCTGCAGTGGACGCTGCCGCGCGTCTCCCTGCTGCTGGTCGGTCCGCCGGGCACCGACCGACTGCTCACCGTCATGGAGGACCTGGCCATCTCCATAGACAGCCAGGCCGTCTACACCAAGGCCAAGCTGAACCTGGCCTCGCTGGAGACATCGCGGCAGCCGGCCAGAAACGCCAGGTCAGTCATGGCGACCGGCTGGGGCGGGGGTAGTCAGAGATGGTAGTGGGACTTGTTTCGCTAAATTAATTGGTGGGTTAAAATGTTCCAGACGTGATAAATTCCAGGGAGGATGTTTTATTTGTCTCGCAATCAGTTTTTTTTTAATACTTTAGGTTTGCCATGACGAAAGTTTGATGAAGGAAGTAAACATTTAGAATGTCTGCTTCTTTACTAGGTTGGTTTTCCAACTAGTCTCCTCTAGTGTTTGTTTCCCGGCCACGTTGACCGTTATCCGCCATGTGTCTGTCCCCAGCTGCTCGGCCTCGGACCGGTCCCCGGTCCGCCCGGACGCCTCTCGGGTGGTGTTCACCAGCTCTCGGCGTCTGACGCGCGCGCTGGTCATGTGCCCGGACCGGGCCGGCGCCGGCTCGCCGTCACCGGAGCCGGAGCCGTCCCAGCCGCAGCACCGGGCGCTGCTCTCGGCCGTCTGCACCCGCGCGCTGCGCTCCAGCGTGCTGCAGAAGTGGGGCTCGCCGACCGCCGCCACCAGCAGCGGCGGGGAGTGTCTGACCGAGCTGGAGGTGCGCCTGAAGCCCTGTGACCTGGTGCTGACGCCGGACATGGTGCTGCCCTACAGCGGTCTGCTGGAGCCGCTGCTGACGCCGCTGCTGGCGCGGCAGCAGTCGGGCGGCGGCGGCGCGGTCCCGACCGGCCCGCGACCGGCGCCACCCGCCACGGCCGCCGACCTGCCGCTGCTCTATGTCAGCTGCGAGCCGGTGCGGCTGTTCCTGCCGTGTGACGGCCGGCTGTGTCTGCTGCAGCTGGGTCGACTGCGCGTCCAGCCGGCCGCCGAGTTCCCTCTGAGTCGGCCCGTGCTGCGGCCCGACCTGTGTCCGCCGGCCGGCTGGAGCGGGTCCGGGCCAGACGTGGACGACCGCCACTACCAGGCGGACGTCACCGGGGTGCTGGTCGCCACCGGCTCCTGGGACGAGGTGCTCGCCCAGTCGGACCGCCAGCAGCCCCAGTCGGCGCAGACGCTGGTCACGATGGGCGAGAACCCGGCGGTGGAGTGGAACAACTACGACCCGCTGCAGAGTCCGCGGGACGTGACGCTCACCTCTGTGCTGGAGCGGTGTGACGTGCGCGTGACGGTGGCGCCGGCGCTGGCCGCCCCCGGCACCCCGGAGCCCACGCTGCTGGCCGGACACGCGCTGGAGGTGAACGTCACCGCCCCGCTGGCCGTCTCGCTCAGCGTGCGACAGGCGGTGCTGCTGCGCCAGCTGGCGGATAACGCGGCTCTGGCGCTGCGCCAGCTGCTGGGCCCGGCGCCGGCGGCCGCGGCGGCGCCAGAGGTGGCGGCGCGCCCGGCCGGCCGGCGGCCGCTGGTCGGCGGGGTGCCGCCCTCCCCGGCCGCGGCGGACAGCGGCATCAGCAGCAGTCGTACCGAGCGGCCCACCGCCGACGCCGTGGTGCCGTTCGAGGCGCTCCTGACCCTGGGAGATGTGACGGTGACGCTGTACGACCACGAGGACCCTCCACCGTACCACGGCCCGCAGACTGAGGGTAAGTCGTCGCCGGGCCGGCCTGTGCCGCTCCTATACGTCTCCGCCTCCCAGCCGCACGCCTTCCTGGCGTGCCGTCCCTCCGAGCGGAAACTCCAGCTCTCTGTATTCGACCTATCGGTGCTCGCCGGTAACCCGAGTGACCGCGGCGACCCGGAACGGTCAGAGGACGAGCCACCGGTGCCGGAGCGGGCGCGCTTCCCGGTCACCCTGCTGGAGACCAGGCCCGGCGAGCCGCACTCCAAGACGGGCATCCCTCCGTCGCTGCTGACGGCCACGCTGGCGGACGGCGCCGTGCCGGGCGCGGCGGCGCTCACTGTGGACGTGGGCCGTCCGCTGAAACTCTGCTGGGCGGAGACCGGCGCCCGGCAGCTGACCACACTCGCAGAGGCGGCGCAGAGGATCCTGGAGCTGCCGGAGCCGTCTGGGACGGAGCCGACGGCGGGGGCGGGCCCGGCGGACCTGTGGACGGAGCTGGGCGGCCAGGCGCGGCTCTGGGCGGCCGTGGTGAGCGCCGTCAGCGTCACCAGCCGGCAGCTGGTGCTGGAGCTGGACCCGGCGCCGGCCGGCGGTCGGCTGCGCGCCGCCGTGTCAGGGCTGAGCGGCGCGCTGCGCTGCCAGTACCTGCCCGGCGAGACGCCGCGGCCGGCTGTCCTCTCCCTGGACGCCGAGACCACCGACCTGTCGGTGAGCTGCGGGCTGCCGACAGGCCCCTGGCGGCCGCTGCTGGCCCCCTGGAGCCCCACTCTGACCGCCGAGCTCGAGTGGGAGCCCTGGAGCCCGCGGCCCTACTGCCGGCTGTTCGTCACCTCCGACGCCCTTGTGCTGGACGTGGGAGCCGAGCAGCTAGCCTGTCTGGAGTCGCTGATGAAACTGGCACCGGCAGCGAGCCCACCAGAAGATGGCACTTTGGGAACTCCGCAGCCGAGCACCAAAGACATCAAATCTACCGCCAGTCTCAGCCCCAACGGCGTTCCGGACGGTGAACTGCATTCTTTGGCAACCCGTTCAGAAGACGACCTGCGCCGGGGTCTCATGGCGTTCTCCCAGGGCGACCACGCCGCCTGTCCGGTCGGTCACGTGAGTTTCGACAAGTCGTCGGGCGTCATGTCGTGGCGGTACGGTCAGCCGCGCAGCCTGACCGCCGTGCACGTGTACCCCGTGCCGTTTGTGGCCGGCTCCGAGGTGAGCCACGCCTCGGAGGCGGAGCCGGCCGCGGTGATCTGCCTGCTGCAGTACTACGACCGGCTGCGGCGCCGCTTCTGCACGCTCTGCCAGTTCGAGCTGTCCGAGAGCCAGACCAGCCGACTGCAGCTGCCCATCCCGGTGGAGACGAGCAAGGCGCCCAGCGCCGCGCTGTGGCGGGTGCAGATCTGCCTGGAGGACGGCGACGGGCCGGCCGGCCGGCTGGCGGTGTGCCCCACCGCGCTGGCCGCCTGTCTGCGCGTCGACTCCGAGTTCCGGCCGGCGGCCGTGGCGCGGCTCCGGGCCGTGGCCGAGCTGGGCGGCCTGCAGACGCGACTGTGGCTGCAGCAGGCCAGCCGGCAGGCCGAGCTGCCGCCGCCCGTGGCCGGCTACCGCCTGCAGCCCGGCTGGCCCGAGGAGCACGTGTTCCTCACTGTGGCTCTGGACGGCGCGTCCGCGGCGGCCAGCGTGTGGCCCGACATGGTGCGTCTGCAGGCGGACGGCGCCCTCTCGGTGACAGCCGTCAACTACGCCTACCTGACGGAGGCGCCGCTGCTGGAGCCGGTGCTGCTGCGGCTGGACGCGGTGCGCTCGTCGCCCGCCGCCGGGCCGCAGCTGGAGCTGCTCGCCGCCGCCGGCCCGGCCACCCTCCGGCTCAGTCCGAGTGCGGCGCACACACTGTCGGCGGCGGCGGCCGACTGGCGGGCGGCGCTGCAGCGGTACCGCCTGGCAGTGGACCGACCGACGGAGCCGGACGGCGGGCAACTGCTGCTGCCGGCGCGCTACGTCCTCCTCAACAACACCGGCTGTCGGCTGCGGCTGGGACAGGCCGGTACGGAGCAGGCCGAGCCGCTGCTGCCGGGTCACGCGGCGCTGCACAGCTGGAGGGACCGGGGCCTGCCGCCGCTGCTGCGACTCTCCCTGACCGACCGGGACGGCTGGAGCCGGCCGCTGTCACTGGAGAACGACGGCGAGCAGGTGGTGCTGCTCCCCGGCTCGGCGAGCGACCCCGACCCGCCTGCCGACGACCGGAGCTCTACCGAGACAGACAGCGCCGTCAGCTACCCAGTGATCGTCACCGTGCGGCCACTGAGTGCCACCCAGAAACTGGTGACCCTGGAGGGGCGCCTGAAGGTGCTGAACGCGCTCGACTCGGCGGTGTGGGCGGATGTGAGGGCGGCGCCGTTCTCCCAGCTGCAGACGGTGTTGCCGCGCTCCTGCTCCCCGTCGGTGCTGTGTGACTCAGCGAGGGTACAGGTGGCGGCGATGACGGCCGGCGCGGCGGCGGTGTACCGAGAGGTGGACCTGGCGGCCGCCGAGCCGGCGCTGCTGGCGCTGGGCGCCGTGCACGCCTGGTGCTCGGTGCTGCACGAGCCGGTGGGCGGCGCGGCCGGGTGCCGGCGCACCCTGGTGGTGCTGGCGCCCGTGTTCTGCGCGCGCTCGCTGCTGCCGGCGCCGCTGGAGCTGCGGCAGACGGCCGGCGGCGCGGTGCAGCGGCTGGACGGGCGCGGCGCCGTGCAGCAGCTGCGCTGTGACCCGGCCGCCGCCCACCAGCTCACCATGAAGCTGAGCGCCGGCGCCGAGTGGTCCAGCCCGCCGGTGGCGCTGTCCGTGGGCGCCCTGGAGGAGGGCGCGGCCGAGCGGCCGGCGCCGCCGCTGCCCGAGCTGGCCGCCCTGCTAACCGCCGACCGGCCCGACTGGCTGCCCGACGGCGCCGGTCTGCGCACCGTCGACCAGCCCGACATCCAGCTGGAGGTGACGGTGCGCCGCCGCTGGCCCTGGCTCAACACCCTGCTGCTGGACGTGCGGCCCACTCTGCTGGTCACAAACGAGTGCGGCGAGCCGGTGGTGGTGCGCTGCGGCGCGCGCGACGCCGCCCCCTCGCTACTGCCGCCGGCCGGCGTGCTGGCCGCCCCGGCCGCCGACGGTGCGCTCTACATCAGCGCCCTGGTCGGCGGCGAGGAGTTCCAGGCCAGCAAACTGGTGCTGGGCGACCAGCAGTGGCCGTACCAGCGGCCGCCGCCCGGCGGGCAGGGCGTACTGCCGCCAGAGGGCGCCGTGCCCGTGGCCGCCTTCGTCCGACAGCAGGTCAGTTATAGTGGGATGAACGGGCGTGGGAAGGATGCGAACAAAAAGTACACATTTGAATGGAGGGATTAATTTGAGCGACTGCATCCCGCTGATTTGTTCAGTTCTTGATGCTGTTCAACCAACAAAGGTTCGCTGGTGACTGTTCATTATTTGCTTCCCATACAGTGACCGCGCACTGTTCTTGATCCGGCAGGTTGCTCTGTTCAGCGTGGGTTCGTCGCGGCGCGGCGGGCTGCGTCATGTCTACATCCGTCCGCGGGTGGTGGTCGTCAACGAGACGGGCCGCAGTCTGCCGCTGGCCGCGCTGGCCGCCGGCGGAGCGGCAGAGCCCGGCGGCCGGCTGCCGGAGGTGCACGGCCGGCAGCTGGCGCGCGCCGCCCGGCCGCAGCCGCTGCTCTGGTGGCAGCTGGCGGCCGGTATCGCGCCCGACCCGGCCGCCGCGCCGCTGCCGCTGCGCCTGCTGCTCGACCTGAGCGGGTGCCGGCAGCGGCCGCAGCAGCTGCCGGACGGCCGCGGCAGCCGCGTGCTGCACGGCCCCGGCCCGCAGCCGGCCGGACGCTGCCTCAACAGTCTGCTGCGGGCGGCGTACACACAGCGGGACGGCCAGACGTTTGTGACCGTCCGCGAGGAGGCGGCGCCGTTCCTGCTGGTGAAGAACGACACGGCGCTGCCGGTGACCGTCATACAGCCGGAGCCCGGTCAGTAACATAGCGGGGACTGGAGGGGCTCGGGGGCAGTGCGGAGTTGAGGCGGTATAGTGGGTCTCCAAGCTTCCAAAGTCACCGATCTGCTGGGACGAGCTTTTCAAGACAGGCCCAAAAGGACTCGTACTTATTTTTCTTTCCTTAAGCTAGAAAGTAAACAGAGTCATGATGACATCGTTGACTCCACTGTTGCTCCGTTTTCGTTTCCGTGTCCCCGTCTCTGACCGGTCGTCGGGTCCGTGTTTCCAGCCGAGCCCGTGGAGCAGTTTGTGGCGGCCGGAGCTCCGGGCGAGGTGCCCGCCGGACACAGCCTGTACCTGCCGGAGCCGGAGCCGGCCGCCTCCGGAGCCGAGGAGGCCCACTACCGACTCCAGCTGTCGGTGGGACCCGGCGGCGGGGCGGAGAGCGGCGCGGCGGCGACCGCTGCGGCCAGCGGAGCCACCTCAGGACGGATCCCGACCGGTACGGAGCGAGTTTACACTCAAGGCAGCCAGCCTGTCACTGGACTGAGAGAGAACTATTGGTGCCGTTGCTTGTGTGCGTGTGTCTGTACTCAAAGTCAGGGACTCGACTACAGACACTGACACTCGAAAGTCAGGGATGCTTGAAGCCCATAATCCATCTCAATCGCTTGTTCGTGTGTCATGTATCGTGAATTTGACAACGCATGCCACAATCCAGCTCTCTGATTGAAAATGTCCTCCACCTGTTGCAGCCGACCGTGCCACGGTGGACCTGACCTACGGTAACACGCAGTTCCTGCACGTGGCCGGCCACGACCTGACGGCGCACGTGCGCGTCCAAGGTCACACGCACCACGTGCAGCTGCGGCCCGTCAGTCGGCTGGAGGTGTCGGCGCAGGACGTGCGCGCCAGACTGTCCCGCTCATTGGTCGGCGAGCCGGCGGCCGAGCGGCCCGCCTCGCCCAGACCCCCGAAGGCGTCCCCGCCGCTGCCGGAGACGTTGGTGGCGGAGCCGGCCGGTCCGGCGGCGCTGGTCGTCCAGCTGACCGCCGTCTGTGACCAGCTCAGTGTGGTGCTGCAGGACGACACCGCGGACGTGCGCCGCTGCCAGGAGGTGCTGCGCGTCACGGCCGACCGTCTGGCGGTGCTGCTGTGCCCGCCGGCGGCGCCCGGCGCACCGTGCCGCCTCTCGGCCTGCGTGGCCGACCTGCAGGTGGACAGCCAGCTGCCGCCGACCGCCGGCCAGCTGTACCAGGTGCTGGTGGCCGCGCAGCAGCCGCCGGCGCCGCCCGGTCACCAGCCGCCGCTCTCCGGCCTGCCGCCGCTGGCGCTCAGCGCCGCCGTCAACTCCCTGCGCCGCTCGGCGCTGCTGCTGCTCGAGCTCGGCCTGGAGCCGGGCGCGGCCGGCGGCAGTCAGCTGCGCTCGCTGCGACTGCAGGCGCGCCCGCTGCGCCTGTTTGTGGAGGACCGGTGTCACGCGGCGTACTCGGCCTACCTGCGCGGCCTGATGGCGGCGGTGGGCGGCAGCGCGGCGCCCGAGCGGGACCTGGGCCGCGGCGGGGTGCCGGCCGAGGTGCGCGCCGAGCTGGCCGCCCTCTGCAGCCAGGTGCTGGCCGACCAGCTGACCGTGGAGCCGCTGGCGCTGACGCTCAGCGTGCGCACGCACCGGCAGCTGTACCTGTCCATCGACGACTCGCCGCTGAGCCTGCCGGCCTTCCAGCGGGTGGGCGTGCGGACCAGTCTGGAGCGGCTGCTCGACGAGCTGGTGCACCACTACATGTGGTCCGCCATCTACAAAGCAGGTCAGTGTCCGGCTGTTTGGCTGTTTGGCAGAGCTCAGAGGTTGTTGTTTAGAATAATGTTGAACGAATGGGAAATGCCTTGTGGCTAGGAAGATGTTCAAGTGTGGGTATCTGTGCTTCCCATCGTAAGCTGGGTTTGTTTCATGGGTGGTCTTAGTTCATTAACTCAGCAATAAATAAATCGTGCAGCTGGTAATTGCACCATTTCATTTATCCTTTAGATTCCTTGTTCACGTTCGTTGGTTCCCAACCATTCACACTCGCTCTGTGCTCGGCAGGCGGTGTGGTGGCCTCGCTGGACCTGCTCGGCGACCCGGCCGGTCTGGCGCGCTCTCTAACACTGGGCGTGCGCGACCTGGTGCAGCTGCCCTACCGGGGCCTACTGACGGGCCCGGCCGGCCTGGTGGGCGGCTGCGGCCGCGGCCTGGCCAGCCTGGCGCGCCACCTGACGGCCGGCGCGGTCAGCTCGGTCAGCGGGCTGGCCGCCGCGCTGGCACACAACCTGCACCGGCTGTCGCTGGACGCCGACCACCTGGCGCGGACCGAGGAGCAGCTGAGCGCCGCGCCGGCCGGCCTGACGCACGGCCTGCGCCAGGGCCTGACCGGGCTCGGCCTGGCGCTGCTGGGCGCCGTGGCCAGCCTGGCCGACCAGCCGCTGCAGGGCGCCATCGAGGGCCGCTCGGCCGGCGCGCTGGTCGGCGGACTCGGCCGCGGCCTGGTGGGCGCGCTCACCAAGCCGCTCGGAGGCGCCGCCGACCTGCTGGCGCACACGGGCCAGGGCCTGCTGCACAGCGCCGGCTGGCGGCGGCGGCCGGCGCGGCGGCACCCGGACTGCGCGCGCGAGGTGTGCCGCGCCGCGCTGGCGCCGCTCTGGTACTCTGTGCAGCTGGCGGCGGACGGGCCCGTGCTGGCCGTGGCCGACGCCACCCTGGTGACGGACTCCCGGCCGCCGGCGTACGCCGCCGTCACCGTGCTCCTGCTGACCACAGAGCTGCGCCTGCTGCCCGAGACCGAGCCGGACGCACCGGACCAGGCGGCCCCCCGCGCCGCCGCTGCCTACGAGCTCTCCGACACCGACCTGGTCCCCTCGGAGACGGACCCGACCGAGACGACGCTGCGGCGCCGGCCGGGCCGCGCCGGGCCGCCGGCCGTGCCCCTGTCGCCGTCGGCCGCGCTGCTGGCGCACGGACTGGCGCACGCCGAGGCCACCCACTCGTACGTGGCGGAGTACGTGCGGGGCGGGGGCGGTGTGCCGGCGCCGGCCGAGGGCGCCGCGCTGGCCACCGTGCTGCTGAGCGCCGAGCGCCGGCCGCTGCTGGTCTCGGCGTACCGGGCCGCGCAGAGACGACTGTTCGGCACCGGGTTCCCGCTGGAGCTGCGGCAGCAGCTGGCGTGAGACCTGCGAGACGCCTGGAGGTGAGGCCAGAACAAAGGAGGGTTGTGCTGGGAATAGTGAGGTGACGTTGGAGTGATATCGGATTCCCGTCGCTGGTGTCTGAAATGAACTACCGAGTAAGTCAGCGGAGATGCTCTTTGACGGCCAGTTCTGTCCTTGTGGCAGCTGCCGCTCTATGGGCGGATTTAGGGCAGCTAGCGTTCTCTGTCAGCGGAGAACGCTGGTTAACGCTGGTGTTCTCTGTCGGCCCTCGGTCGCGGCAGCTGACCTATCACCGCGCTCGGATCCGTCCTCGCCCGGGACCAGCGGAGTCTGTGTGTGTGCGACGGTCCGAGCGGCTCTCAATTCTGCTGGTACTGGAGCGTGCTAGCACGGCTGTGGCCTCCGCAGAGGATGACTGGTTTGAGATACGGTCTAACTAGTCCCAGTCCCGGCGGTAAATCTATGGACGTGTTACGCGTAAAGGCTTCCATCTCCGATACGTATTTGTTGTTACGACGCATCTATGAAGGTGTGGAATTGGGTTTATTGATATTGAACAACACAAGGAAGTTAGCATGGTGTGCCAGACGAAGACGCCGGCTGACTATATGTGTCGTTACGTTGTGTATTGTTGGGTAACCACTGTGTGGGGCATTCCATTGATGGCGCCAGTCTTGGACGGTGGTGGTCAGAACTGTTACGGTTAAAACTAACACCTCTTGTATGCAGAGGAGGAATGAATACTTCTGTGATATCCCGTGAAATACACTGGAAACATCGATACGGTGTGTGAAGTTGCTGGTCTCTGACGGGTAGATGGGCTGATGAGGTCTTTGTAGCGCAGCTCGTCAATACACGGGGTGATAAAAAACGTGCTGAGCTTATGTCTCATCGCGGATGTGAATCACGCAGGAGTGTCGAGTGTACGAACGCGTACATACGCAAATGCATGACGAATGTCCTTAATTATGTGCGATCTAATCCCGGCATTTGGCTGTCCCTGGGGCCTGGTCAGGAGCCACGCCTTTGTGAATAGCCGATTACCTTATTGTGGATATTGATGCACATTGCACAGTTTTCCGGCAGTGTTTTTGCACAATAGACGGACGTCTAATTTCGTGTGCGCGGTGCATAATTATTCATACATGACCAGTCCGGCGTCGGCAGATTTGCAGTTACTTAACCAGGCACTGATGAGTAATCGCGCCTAAACCCCGGCCGGTCCCCGCAAAGCCCCGGCGACCTGATGGTGAAAAATCGTACCACTTTTCCGTCGATGAACTCATCAGCTCAGCGCGCGGCGGGCGCGTCTGATCCACTCTGACGGCTGTCACGGACTGTCACCTGCGGCGGCGGCTGTCACGCGGACCGCCGATCAGCCGCTGATCCCGCCCGTAATCCTATTTTGGCCGGCGCGGAGATACGTCCCCCCCGCGCGCGCTCCCCTGATTGGCACAGTCGGGGACACGGCCACCGTGGGACTAAGTAGCGTGTCTCCAGCGACCCCACAGGGAGGGACGCTCTTCACTGAACTGAACACCTCAGTGGAAAGGAGGGGGATATTCTCTACGGACATTTTCTACTCGCTGAGTAGCGAATCTATGTCAGTTGCCGTTTTACTTGTAACAGTTCCCTTTTTATCTTCTTTATGCCCAATATCTATCGGAGGGCTCATCCTCAATTTTCAGGTTACGGCTGCAGTAAAACCCCACTTCACTCCTGGTAACGTAACTGGGTATGCCGGTCTGGGGGCCGGGCGGCACCGGGGATCGAACCTGGGTCCTCTCGAACCCTGAACCAACGCCCTGCCAACCGCGCCACCATTTCGACTGGGGTGCTGATCTGCCCTACTAGCCTGATTTTTGTGTCAGTTTTCATGTGATCGTTATATTGAAGTTCCTTGTCATTTAATAACCCACTTTCACCGTGTGTCATGATTGTGTCACCGAGCCAGGATTTATCCATTTCCGACCAATTCACTCATACCATACCGGGCGGAGCCCACCAACCAGAACAGTATCAATGGAAAGATGAGAAGATCTATATTACATGACACATAAGTACATGCATGATATCGTAACACACTACTATAGCTGCTGAAAACGTCCCAAGAACGTTTCTCTCGTCGAAGTTAAGTTGCCGAATCGAATAAGGTTCTTGTATAACCGGACACTAAGTTTTGGCACATGAATCTAGCTACATAATACCATCCTCATTCCTCATACATAGAGACTGCAGATGTAACAATGAAAGGAGCAAACACTTCAGAAACACACTCACAATCATTAACTCATAACTTAGACATACACAATCTCTTGACGAAACACAAAGGGGCCATCTGTTTCGACATTAAACACTCACACATCCATGCGCCGACGTTTAACACAGCTGTATCGCCCCGCCTAATGAAAGGTCGCCTGTTGCACCTTTGGTGACTGGGCTGGAGCTGCGCGAGGGATCAGAGCAGCCTGTCCGAGCCCTCCTTCACACAGTGAGTTCTAGCCAGAGCTGGATGGACACTCGCCGTGACGGGACGAGGGTCGGTGGTGCGGCTCTGTCCACCACCCCCAGTGCAGCTCAGACTCTGTGGACAGCCCCGGCGGCAGATCTGAATGTCATCAGCTGCGACTGCGGCTCCGGCTCCGAGCACAGTCCGGGCGGCTCCGGCTCCGGCTCCGGGCAGCAGCTCACGCGGCGTATCACAGCTCTGGGGTGCCCGCCGCGCCGGCGCCGGTCCTGGACAGGGTGTCAGCGCGCTCCGCTCCTCCCCGGCAGCTCTACAATACCAGCGGTCCGCCGCCACAGTCACTTCCCTGGCGGCTGCGACACGCGGCGTCAAGCTCTGTCTCTGTCCCTGGTAGCCGTGTCACTGCGGCACACGCACGCACACCGCAGCCGGGCCGCGCGCTGAGAACTGGGCCGTGGCCCGGCGGGCTCGGTTACCGGCCTCTGACCGCACGGCACACAGGAGGCGGCGCTCCGCCGGCCGCGGCTGCGCCCGCTGGTCGGTGCACTGTGCCGCTCACTGTGTCGGCAGGGTCGGACTGACGGTGGTGGCGGGGGCCGCTGTGGTCCGACGCCGGCCGCCCGGCCGCCGGCGCCGCTGCTGTCGGTGCCGCCGCCGGCCTGCGGCGCCGCGCGCCCGGCCCCGGCCGCGGCGCCTGGCTCCGGTGCGCGCCCGCTTCCTGCCGCGGCCGCGGGGCCTCTGTTTGTTACCGGCGCCGCCGCGGGACGGGGCCGGGTCGCCGGGAGCGCCGGTGGGCCTGACGCGGCCCGGCCGGGCCCGGCCTCTGGGCCTGCCGCGGCCGCCGGCCGGCCTGGGCCGACCGCCGGGCCGCGGCCGGCGGGGGCCCGGCCGGCCGGTGGGCGGCGGACCGGAGGCGGCCGCCGGCAGCATGGCCTGCCGGATGGCCCGCTGGTCGGAGCAGTCCAGGTTCCGCAGCAGACGCCGCACCTGCCGGAACACCTGTAACACGCCGGAGACGCCGGGCACCGCTGTCAGACACGCCGGATGTCCGCTGACAGGGTCCGACACCTGCTGACACCGTGTGCCCACCTCCCCGGGCCGGTCAGAGCGGCACATTATACAGGACAGGCCGACCGGCCGGCACGTCACTGACATCAGTTGACAGGGCGCCCGACACGAACAGGGCTGACGTCACACACCGACCCATATCTGCCGGAGATACATTCAGCTACATGCATGGGATGGGCCGCATTCAACATGGTCGCCATGCAAAGTCAAGTGGTCCGGATTGGAGTGAGTCTTCAACTAACTCGTTCTCAGTTTTCACAAACAAAACAGTGAGACAACGAGAACCGACACACATGCCACACGTTCATCGACTATTCAGTACTTAGCATCACCGTTACACCAACATCCTGTCCGGCGGCCCTTCGAGCACACACCGGTCACTCACCGGCGTCTTTTTCCAAGGGGTGATGAAGGTGGGCACCAGCTGGTCGCCCTCGCTGCGCGCCATCACCAGGTACTTGGTGCGCCGCTCCTGCAGCTGCGGGCAGCAGGCCGAGTCGTGCGTCCAGCGGAACACGGGCCGCCGCAGGCTGCGGCGCTCCGTCCGGTTCACAGCCGACAGCTGCGGCTTGAAGAAGCGCGCCTTGCCGGCCAGGATGCGGTCGGGCCGCACCCGGCGGAACCGGGTCCGCACCGCTGGGCGAGGAGAGGCGGGAGGTCAGCGGGAGGTGGTGGGGCCAGCGGAGTCGGCTCAGCTCAGCTCGTAGTGTTCCGCGGCGACACTACACAGATCGTCAGAATGGACTGCATTCAGAAAACCATCAATATGTTCTGGTAGGCGCTGTAGGAGATAGTGTGTGCTCACTGCTCATCTTCCATGTGGCCGGCGGCCAAAGTAAACAAGGTGAAAATGAGCCAACATCTATAACCGGCAAGATTTCCAGACAAGAATCTCTTTCACTGCACATTCGTCTCAACCGTGACAATGCATATTCAAAGTGAATTCCATTCTGACGGACCATTTCGTGGGCGGCTAAGATCCGCTTATGCATGACTTCTTATTCGGTTTGTTAGGAATGGCGCTCACTCTGTTTAGAGTGATGTGCGATAAGCCCGTCCCGGCACGTCACCAGGTGAGGGGGGGGGGATTTATTGAACACCCTGACGGTCACCGCTGAAACATCCAGTCCTGCACACGGCTGTCAGCTCCCGGAACGGGGACCGACACTTTGCCACCTATCTGACTATCGAATTAAGTTGAAAGGAGCCGAGCCGAGTGAACTTTCGATCGAGTTAACCAGCCCCCGGAATGCTGATAAGGACCCCTTCAAAGACGGCGGGCTCGTGTGAGCACGCCTCCGCCCACATCAGCGCCGGCCGCCGCCGGTGTCCGCACACGTCCCGCGTCTGATCTCGCCGGCCGGCTTACCTACGTCCGAGCGGCAGAAGTGGTCGAGCATGTTCTCCTTGGTCTCTGGCTGGTTGCACGCGTTGCATGCCTCCGACGGCGGCTCCTCTGCAACAGGCAAAGAGCCGCGGTCACGCCAGCACCGTTCAGCTGTGAGGTGAGGGCGGCGGGGCCGGCCGGCTCGCCGAGCCGGGAGATTACATCGCAGGCGGCGCCGGCCGGTGATACGAGCCTCACAACTCGTCACGGTCGGGACGGGCGAGGCGCGGCCAGGCCCGGTGTCAGTCCCGGTGTCAGTGTATGGGAGGAGTTGGTCGGTATCAGGGTGTGGGAGGCCGCAGTGGCCGCTGTGACCCGGTACCCGGTGTCAGTGTATATGGGGAGGAGTAAGCCGGTGTCGGGGTGTGGGAGCCGCAGCGGCCGCTGTGACCCGGTACCCGGTGTCAGTGTATATGGGGAGGTGTTGGCCGGTGTCGGGGTGTGGGAGGCCGCAGCGGCCGCTGTGACCCGGCGCACCGGCGCCGCCGTCTCGCTGTGGATCGCTGGCGCGCTGAGTCTATCTGTTAGGGCCGCTCTGATCAGATGTGTGGCCGACGTCGGGGCGGTGCGGACCGCGCCATGTGGGGACAGATGCCACTGTCCTGTCCCCGCCACACGGATGCCATGAGACAGCTGTCGCGGGGCTGACGCCGCCACTTCGCTGGAAGGAAGCCATTTGAATGCATACATGAATACTAACCGGGCGGGTCGGCCGTTCGTTTCTTTATCCGGGCCGAGACCGGGCTGTAGCTCACAGGGGAAAACAGATCTACGGCTGGACAGGCAGCAATATCGTCCATCTCTTTGCAATTTTTAGTAGCGATTAATTTCATTTGGACATTTAACACTAATCTAATAAGAGCACGATAGACTCTTTAATTTCGAGAGCCATAGGCATGAAAGGATGAAGAGAAAAATTGTAATGTTAAGATTTCTTCGCAGTTCGCACAGCATTTCGCACAGCATTGATTTATTATTATTTTTCCTGAAGTCGGCAATTTTCCACTCACATATTTCCAGGGATGATCAATTCATTCAGCTATCTTCATTACCGTTCTTCCTTTTTTTATTTTCGACAGCAATGCGAAATGATAAACTACCGCAAATGTTTCAAATAAGAACGCGCCTCATAGCATGGAGGCGAGCCCAAAAGAACAGGATTTCCTACATCTGGACTTAAAGGGACCCTCCCACCTTAACATTAGATTTGAGTTGAGATAGCCAAAATGGGGTCCCTGGCTCACAATTACCGGTTTCGGCACTCACAACATCGAGAAATTCCTTAAATCGGAAATATTGAATTTCAAAATTGCAGCATTTTGATTCAGAGGGGCTAATGCTTAGGAATACCCCTCTGAATGTGTGACGTCAGCGCAAATATCTAACGATTTTTTAATGTTTGACTAAAACGTTTTGTAGCACGCGGTGGTATATGCTATTTGCGCGCAACATCTGCCGCAAACGCCGCACTTCTAAAATAAAGTCGCTAGAAACAGCGGAGATCCCAAAAAAGTAAACAAAAGTAAAAGTCTAATATCTTGAAAACCGGTGAATATTTTTCGGTGAAATTTGGTAGATATTCGTTTTCGCTCTTTCTGAACCGAGCGACATCACTTTCATGCCAATTCATTAACTTTTTTGAAGGTGGGAGGGTCCCTTTAATGAATAGTCAGGATGTTAATAACTAGACTTGCTTTTATCGAGTATCGCAATCAAGTCGTAAGCAATTGTGAGAAATCCTCAAAGAGCGGAAATGGCCCGCCGCGCCTCGGCCAGGGAGTGTTATATTGCTGCCGCTAGATGGCAGTAGCTGTAGCGCCTGTGGGTATGCTGTACCGCAATGCACAAAATCCCCGGCCGACAGCCCCGGGCTGAGAAAAGAGGGCCGCAAGTTGCAGTGGACTGTTTTCATTAATTCTGCAGTGCTTTTTGGGACACACAAGGGTTTCAACTACATCAGGAAGAAAAAACAATTGAGAAATATAGTGGGTGCTTCACGCCAGCTGCCCTAAGCTACGCTCCCCGGTCCGATAAGACAGTGTGAGCCGTTGTCCGTTTATATGGCCTTCATGTGTCTTTCCTATGTGATGCTGAAGCTTGATATTGAGGTGACGACACAATCGCATAGTGCATGGATGGAATATCTTAACTTTTAAAAGATGTAAGATATTGAGAAAGAATGAAACAAGTGAAAATGCCAAACTCTCCGACTGTCCGACGGATACAAGTAGGCATTTAAATCCAGCTCCTCATGAACCGGACCACCATACCATGGCAACAATATAGGTAGGTACAGTCCACAGCAGAAGTAATGTGGGGTTTCAGTCATGGGTATGTTCTGCTTCTGAAGCTTAGGAACGATTTACCAGACTACAATTAAACTTTGAATGTAGCTTATATGTATCGTCACCCTTGCAGCTGCAACTTTAGCTATTATTGACATCTTCTTTTGGATCACTCCGCATTAAACAATCGCCAGTCAAAGCCAACAGTTGAGATTGGTAAAACCCTACATTACTTTAGCGGTGGGCTGTACGGGTACTCAGCACAATATTCAGTACCTATTGTGACCAGGCCCTGTAGATGCTAGCCGATACAGATAAAACCAATGCAGGGACCCGCCAGGCGCCAATTCGCCACCGTTCCTCACCAATACCCCATAACCATATCTGTCCATATCCGTATACCCCAGAAGCAGTGCCGTACCGCAGAGGTAGGAGACGAGCGGCGGGCATAGAGCCGCCGCCGCGCCGCCTCTGTCATGCTAATCGGGCGGCGGTGCAGGTCGCGCCGGCTGCACGGAGGCCACCGGACGGCAGGCTCGGGAGGCGCGGAGGCGCGCCGCGCTGCAGTAATGCGGCTCGGCGGAGGTCACGGTCCCCACAGCAGCGCCAGTCGCAGCCGGCTACAATTTATTAGGCAATTTCCCCAGGGGCAGCGTGCATGCCGCCGTCGCTGCCGTAATCAGTACCGGGCGCGGGTACAGATAGGCGCGGCCGGCGGCGCCGGCGCCCTCTGAAGGCGGCCATCGGAGTCGATCAAGGGCCGCCGCCGACCGGCCGCCGATCGGATGCCAATTCGACCGAATGTAAATGTTGACACCGGAGCCGGCCGCGGTCCGCGGCGCCGGCGGCGGGCGGTCGAGCCGAGTCGCCACCAGTTGAAGGGCGCCGCGCGCTGGTCCGACACCGGTCGGTGTACGGTACACCGGGCCGGACCGGCTACCGTGACACCGGGCGACAGGCGCGCGCCGGCCCCCGGTCCCCCTATGCCGGACGGGGGTCGACCTGGACCATCCCTTCCCTGACCAAAGGTTATTCCAATGGGCTGGACGATTGAATAGGTGCGCGTTTCCAGTTAAATATTGCACACAAATAGCATGCTTCCTGCGCTGAAAACTTTTCTTTTTTTACCTTTTGAGGTGTTGGAACTTTTTACCCATTTACCCATTTTCATCACTCGGCTAGAAACATGATCCTATCATCTTTATTTTCGATGTATCCGACAATAAATCAAGCTGCCCTCGCCTTTAATATATGCAGATGTTGTCAGGTGAATGAGAAAGAGAGCGCTAGCCATTATTCACTCGGCATAGCCGTAGACATAAAATAAGAGATCACCCTGGCGAGTGCTGAAGACGCATGTGCTTGGAGGCGGTTGCGCTCTACCTCTTTTCGAACTTATGGTATGCTACTTTAAGGACAAAAAAAAAATGTTCGATTGAAATAATTAAATGAAATGCACTATGCAGGTAAGTTGTGAGCTAAGATACACATAAAGGTGCACTGTCAAGATACCCTACGGCCTTACATATCTAATGCTAGCATGTCTCGAGAACATTTGGTTGTGATAAATTAAAGTCACCAATGTAGTCATTTACCTACCTGACTTTCTTACATCGTCTTTTATAAAACGAAGCACACATCTTTTATAAAACGAAGATCCTAAAAGTTAATAAAGTACAAAAACGCAATGCAATACGTAAACCTGAATGCGCAACAAGATGTTGCAATGCTGAATGTAACATGATAACGTGTAACATAGTAACAATAACCACACGCAACGAACATCGAGCAGGCATCTACGCTAAACTAGACAGTACCTACAATTCATGGACATCGATGCACCATACCATCCAACTTCTAGTAACTAACAGATGACGGGCGTTCGACAAGGCAGCATGCAGCCTTCCGATACATCTGTTGTGTCCGTCTGTCAGCGTATGTGTCGGCCACCGGTGGTCCCAGACAGCCAGTTATGACCGTGCTCACCCGACGGCAGCTGTTCGTGTCACCGCCGCCATGCCATGTGCCTGTACCCGTCCGGGTCCTGACCGAGCCATGCAGAGTCTACCCAGATCTACCACCAGCCGGCCACCAGAAGCTGCCAGCGAGCACCGGCTACCGATCGAGTGCGGAATATTCGGCGACGTCCCTCCAGCCGTCAATGAGCGAGCCTTCAGACCGGGGCGTCCAGCCAACGAACAAACTAACTACTCATATACCGCCGCAGAGCAAACAGTCAGAAAGAAGAAGCGGCCCCGAGCGAGCCTCTCCGTGCGGGGGAGTCTGGGGACAGACCGCCGGCCCCGAGCGATCCTCTCCGTGCGGGGGAGTCTGGGAACAGACCGCCGGCTCCCGAGGGAGGCCGGCCTGAAATGGGCTCTATCGATCTGGCCAGGATGTGGGAGAGGAGGCGGCCACACCGCGGAGGGGTCGCCGTCCGGGCAGGGACTGCGCCCGATCGGGAGACTCGAGCGCCGCTAGCTAGCACAGTGTGAGGGAGACAGGTCTGGAGAGACAGAGCGAGCGACAGAGACCGGGGAGGGGGCAGCATGCGGTCCGGGTGGGCGGCGGCCGGTCATGCGGCGCTGCCGAGGGCGGGCAGCTCGCCACTTACGGATCACCAGCGGGCCGCCGCCGTCATCCTGCCACCGAGTCACCTTCTCTGCAATACACAGGACACGGGCTGAGTCTCACAGAGGCCGCTCGGCCGCCGCCGGCCACAGGCGACCAGCGAGAAAGTCGCCCGTCCAGGACGATTCAGGAGTCACACAAGCAGGCAGAGGCATGGTGGGTTTCTCTGCCCGGCGCTGCAAAGGAAATCGCATCATACATGCTAGCGGCATGGCGGTGCACAGCACGTTAAAAGTTATAGGTGCAGCTGACCGAAACGGTATAATACATGTTCAGATACAAAGGTGGTTCCGCTTGGTTGGTAAATAGCAACGAAAAATGCGAGGATATTGCAAGCGCAAGTAGTTGGTAGCAAGAAACGGAAAACCGTAAAAACTGCCGGTTAATCAGTTCTACCCAACACAAAGGAGAAGTGTATCTGCAGTCTCCCCTTTCCCTGTATTCCTCATTTCTCTGACATTTGCGATTGACGAACCAAAAACAATTTACTTACATTGCAACTGGCGACCAATGCATACCTATTACCTATACATCCGATTATATCCGCACATTAAATAAAGAGTGAGGAAATTCAGATATCAATCCCCCAACTGGTGTTATGTTAAGATAATGAACACCAGAAATTATGGGCTCTAAAAATGGTACCAAATAGCCTTTAATTCGGCTCGGCTGGGCGTCCATCGGCGCCTGTGATCGGCCCATCCCGTGTATGGCGCCGCACGGAGCTCAGAATCGGCCCGCAGTCGGCCCGCTGCACACCAGGATTAATGCCGCCCGCCCCAAATGGGCCGCAGCCGCCTCCGAAGGCCGCCAGAAAAGACGCCGACTCGGTGATCACCTACAGATCCAGGCCGATTCAGAATCAGCATTTGGAAACTGAAATGCAACCGCTATGCATAACGCCGATTTAATCTAAAGATTCTGGGATATTTTTTCAGCGTCGGTAAATAATTGAAACCACTATTTGAAAAACGAAACGTTTGCTAACATGGATAACAATGACAGGCTGCCTCTCGTTGTATAAACGGCCTCGGGCCTCTCTCAGACTTCAATCATTTGTTTGCTTTCTAATATCCTAGGTTAAGAACTCAAACAGCGGTAACCAATGCCAAAGCGTTTCTGGCATCTTTAATGGGCCATTAGACAGACGGGAGATGCAGTTCAATCTGATCATATTTCCTCTCTTGTCTGTAGGTTGCCTGGCAAAGTGGCCTGGCCATCGGTTACAAAGTCACAACCACAGCGTGATGGCCGGCCACCTGCGACCAAGACCTGCGACCACCAGCAGTTTGTTACATCTTCCAGTTTCTGCCGTTTTAATCCGCCACCGTGCAGCATTGCTCTTCGGCATGTCTGAGCGACACAATGAGCGGAAATGACTCGCATCGTTTTCCGTCGCTGGGGTTAGGACGTTGCAAGTCAAGCAAAAGCCTGATGCAACACATGTGCTCCCATGTCTAGTTGCAATGTGATCTTGGCCCTCAACACTTCATAAAAACGGCTTTGACGTGCAGTTTTAATTCAATTCGTAGTATTCTCTAAGGAGATTAATTTGATAAGTTTGTTATCGCTCTTACAATGCCAATGCCGTGCGATATTGTGCCTTTTAGTTTTGACCAGCGCACGGTCTTGCCGAATACCAGATTAGCGCGAATTTAATCAAAAACCCGACTTTTGAGAAACTGTTATTTATACCTATCAGTGGGTAGGAAATTGTCTGAAGTTATCTGATAGAACCTTATTTTTAAGCCACTTTACCATTTGAGGACTTATATCCCTGCCGAAAGTAGACCCACGCTCCGGTTCCTAAAATCGGGCTATGGTACTGATAAATATGTCCAGTTTTCAACGTAAATTTTACGGAAGTTTCGAGAAGATATATGAGAAAATAGCATATCACCGGATAGCACAATTCATGATGAAGCTGTTTCTGCTATCATGGTAGCTTTTCAATGAATGGTTTTTGAGTTTAATGAGTTAGAACAAGAGCCCTGCATGTGTATCGTTCTCACGATAGTATTTAATAAAGAAGTTGAAAAATGTCAAAATGGATAAAAATGGATATGACGAATAGGGCATGGCTGAACTCTCCGCACCTTTCTGAACATAAGCGAGCAAGTTTCAGCTGCCAGTTTTTGCCTATTTGCCGTCAACTCAGCTTTGAACATGTCTAGTCGGCCGCCCTATGTGACCTGACCAAGGTCGGGGGCGGCGCGGCCGGACAGGCTCCAGCCTAATAAACTATCTCAAGCACACGAAATCGTGATTTCATGCACTCCTTGCAAGGTCCGATGCTTCACCTATGCATTGTTGGTCTTACGTGACGTCACTAGGGTAATAAGAGTTTTTCGTCAATAACTCTCGATTAAATTGAGCTAGCGAGTCGAGAAAGCCACCAATGGACTCAGGAAGACTTGCTGAATCGAATGATATGCAACATGACCTCCTTCAACCAATTTCGTGATCTGGAGGACTCTGACCTGACCTTGACCCACGGTCAACACCTTAAGTTAACTTCAGCCGAACAAAAAGTATACCATTCGACGCGCCTGAGTGAGGTGAACATGATGATACCAAAATTGCGGCTCTGCGGCATTTTTTCGCGAAGTTATTAATAAAAAATGAATCCGCGCCTGGGTCACTTGACCTGACCTCAGAGGTCACAGGTTGGCCTAAGACCTTAAAATCGGATACCAGTCGCTGCGTCTCGTAACGGCACACACGCTCGTTTTTTCCGCGGGGCTCTAGCTCCATCAGGGGCGAAACAGCGACGGGGGTCGTACCAACCCCCCCCCCCCCTTCGGCCGGCGCGTATTTTGAAAACCAATAAGTCCGGCGAGGGATAAGTGTCAGTTTTGGAACCAGAGAACCATTTTCAGTGGATCCGAGCAGCGCTGGGATTAAATTCGCGCTAAACTGGTGTTCGGCCACACTGTGCAGCGGTGGGCACACAAGCCTAACCCTCGCCGGACCTATTGGTTTTCTACATACGCGCCGGCCGAGGGGGGGGGGGCGGGTACGACCCCCCCCCTCGCCGTTTCGCCCCTGGTGGAGCTAGCGCATCGCGGAAAAAACGAGCGTGTGCGTCGTTACGAGACGCAGAGATTTGTACCCGATTTTAAGGTCCTAGGTCAACCGGTGACCTCTGAGGTCAGGTCAAGTGCCCCAGGGTACGGTTCAGTTTTTGGTGAATAACTTCGCAAAAAACGGCCACAGAGCCGCGATTTTGGCAGCATCGTGTTCGCCTCGCTCAGGCGCGTAGAATGATATACTTTTTGTTCGGGTCAGGTCAACTTAGGGTGTTGACCTCAGGTCAAGGTCAGGTCAGCACCCCCAGGTCACGAAGTTGGTCGAAAGAGGTCATGTCGCATATCATTCGATTCGGCAGGTCTTCCTGAGTCCATTGGTGGCTTTCTCGACTCGCTAGCTCAATTTGGTCGGGAGTTATTGAAGAAAAACTAATATGACCTTGATGACGTCATAAATGACGTCACGGAAGGTCAACATTGCAAAAGTGACGCATCTAACCTTGCAAGGAGTGCATCAAATCACGATCCTGTGTGCTTGAGATAGTTGGAGATCGTTCCCGGCGCCAGAATAGCAGTTTTCATTTTTCCCCATTGACTTATAATGGTGAGGTCACGAAAATGACCTGACCTCATATGACCTTCAGGAAAAATCCGAGATATACAAGTTGTGAGACTCATAATGGATACTAGATCCTGCAAGTTTCATTTCCCTGTGACATCTCCTCTGGCAGTGAGGGCGTTGCGAAGTTGCGACATCTGAAGACCGTGCAGAGGTTCACTTATGACGTCATAGGTCAGTGACCTGACCTGACCCAAAAATGCGGTTGGTGTCAAAAGATGCGGCTTGGATCAAAGGTCAGGTATGCCAAGTTTCAGCTCTCTATCGCCAGCGTGTTCGGAGCTATCGCGAAAAAAACCCTATGGGGGGGGCGGCACCCGCCCCCCCCCCCCCTCGGCCGGCGAGGGCTAAAGCAGACGTAAGGTAAACGATGTCTTTATTATTGTTTTTTTTCGGTTTACCTTGCTCATTATCAGATACGTTCCTGGACATTTTAGCCTGAATTAAATCACTATACCTCGTTGTAACAGACAATGCAGTCGAATCTTTAAGAACATAGTTACTTTTCATAGTCCGGGATAGGTCCATTCAAAATATTTTCGAGAACTTTCCAGCATTCTCCCATGCTTCAAACTGAGCCTTTTAAAATTGACATAAATGAATTGCAGAGGTCGTAAGTCAACCGGCAGTGGTATGATGCATTTGTGCATCATGTGTCGTGCCCTACCGTTTAATTAGACCCCAAAATGGCCTGCGTGATGCGCCACCACAATCTTTACATTGCCCTGACGGTACGTCTACGACCTTCGAGAACAATTATAAATAAACGCTGCTTTTGTACGCTGACGCAGGCTGTGATTTCAAACTCGGTGCGGAATAATAAAATATAATTAAAATAGCCCTTGCACTTTAGGGGTCGACCTCTCGGTTTTTCGCGAATAGCTCGCGAAAAAGGCAGCCGATTGCGACGAAAACTTCAGTACCAGCAATTTATCCAATTTAACACATATCCTGAAAAGTTCATGACCCTGACCCAAAGGACCTTTGACCTATTTCTCGAGACCATGTTTTGCCGGAATCGCGATTCGGCGTATGTCGGCTCAGATTATCCGCGCGTTTGCAGTCTTTTTGTGTTTTTTAGCGTTCAAACATGTGGAATGATGTTCATCCCATGCATTATGGTGGGTGTCAAGGTCACGTTAAGGTCAGGTCATTGACCAGTGACCTTTGATGACCTTGTTTTTCGAGTTTTATAGGTTTCTTGGCTAGCTTTTGGAGCTTATTTTGAATTTGGCAGCCATTTGAGCATTTACGAAGTAGTTCTTGTGCCTTCGTGACATGTTACGAAGGTGTCAGCGGTGGTTGACACCTACTATGAATACCCGGCAGGAATCCTACTGGTTGACCAGACCTGACCCGACCTTACCTAAATGCATGAAGACA